AATAAATGAATAAATTAATATGGTATTATTAAGTTATTTAACAAAAACCGGCTGCTGCAGCCACCAAAACAGTGTCAGTAAACCTGGGCGTCGCTCGGTAAGCCTACTGATAGGACAGCTGGACTGTCATCATGGTGGCAGCGTAGTGGCCGCTGCCGACGGTGGTGGCTGCTGCCAGCAGAGCCTGCCATCGGAGAGGCTGATGGTGGCTGCTGCTGGGCGGTTCTAGACAGGGGCCAATGGGAGCCAGTGCCCCTGTAAATCATGTCCTGGCCCCTGTACTGAAGAAAAAATGCTTATAAGAAATTCTAATGATGATATGCGCTGGAACAGACTTGGTTACTAATAGGTCCTTTGGATCTATTTCATTTTTTTCCTTTACTAATATTTAAAAACAGTAAGGTGATAGCTTCAGTCGTATTGAGATAGGATCCCATTTTTCATCTGCTAAATGTTTTTTTTTCTAAACAAAAAAAGGTACTCTGATTTTTATAGCTGAATTTATCAGTTTTTCTGAGTTCTAATTCAGATTTAATAGAAAATGGTAATTTTAACTTAAGTAAATAAATATGTAAAATTCCTAAATTATGAATGTATATTGACCTCATAAGAAATAGAATTTTTATTGAACCTAATTGAAAAGAAATTTCACTTCATGCAGTTCTCTTTAATATATTTAAATCCCTTGCCCTGTTTTTTGTTTCATGCTTTTCTGTGCCCCCATGAAAACACGCTGGCCCCCTCCTGGCCCCCTGGTGCATTTGTTCCACTGTGGCTGCTGCCGGCAGAGCTTGCCGTTCGGAGAGGCTGATGGTGGCTGCTGCCGGCACAGCCTGACATCGGAGAGGCTGATGCTGGCTGCTGCCGGCCGAGGCCACTTATAGGCAGATAAACTACTCCGTTCCATCAAGTAAATGTGACCGTATAAAAGTTTTAATGCAGTTTATTAAGCAATAACATCACAATCAAAAAAACAAAACATATAAAGAGTACATTTTAATACAGGTTATTAAGCGATAACATCACTATATATATATATATATATATATATATATATATATATATATATATATATATATATAAATATATAAAACAATCTAGTTAGAAGTATTATAACTAAGGCATTTGCCGAAAAACGGCCAGAAAAATACCCAAAAAATAATTAAATACCAAAGAACAGCAATCAAAAAACATGACAAAATAATTCAGTGGCTCCGGCCAGTAATACGGCGTGCCATTAGCCAGCGAGCCACTGGAACTGCTGCAACGAATTGAGCTCTCTGTCTCTCAGGAATGGTTTGACCAAGGTATTATTCTATTAAATCAGCTTATTTCTCCAGATGGGGATCTTATGAGCTGCAATGAATTTGTTTTCCATTTTCATTTCCGTCCCAAAAGTAGAATATACTCATTTAAAATTTTACACAAATACTACCCAGTATAACTTTTTTTTTATTACAGTTTCTGCTCTGCATATCCTGAATCCCATTTATTTTGGAATTGCTCATACAGCAAAAGGTTTTGGAAAGATGTTTCCAAGTTCATTACTGACAATTTATTGGAAGGTTTTTTTACTGTCTTTTGAATATGTAGTTTTAGGATTTCTAAAATATGATAAGGGGATAGAACAAAGGGCTCATGTCATCAACTTATTTATCATTATGGCCTTTTACACAAATGTAAATTCTCCCAGCAGAAGCCGCTGTCCCTAGTATTGTTTATTTCATATATCAATACAATCAAAACAACTTTCAACAAGAAGGCAGTGAAAACTATATTTTTCTATATGTTCAAACTACAACTTCTGTTCTGAATGAGTTAATCTTTTCTTGAATTGTTTTGTAATAGATCCCCTTGGTATGTAGTTGCCCCTTATCTTTCTATTTTCTTCTTTTATTTTTTCTCAAATCCGCCCCTGTTTTCAGGCTTATGTTAACTGTAAAGACTTATCTTGGTTGTTTACACTACGCCTTTTCCACCCAAAACGGCGTCTTAGCAACAAATGTAACGTGACATAATTGTTTACTTATATCACTTCTCTTGTATGCATTTGAAAATTTTGCTTAATAAAATTTATATTTACAAAAAAAAGCCAGAAGCTGCGTTAGCTTCGCGCTAGCTTCGCGCTAGCTTCGCGCTAGCTTCCGACTATTGTAACCCCAGAAACTAAATGCTAACAGTAATATGAAATAATGCTGTTGTGTAAAAAAAACTCACGGACTCGACCTGTTGAATGCAGAGGCAGAGAAATGTAAACTACTCACCGATTTTCAATCACTTTATCGTTGTCTGGCTTGACTCTTCTGTTACTTGTGTACGTTCCTTCCGTGTTGTCAGTGCAGCGATTTGATTGGCCAAAAGTTTCCAATTCGCGCGGTGTGTATCCAACATCGCGGGAAGTGTAACATCTGACTTCCGGTGGAAAGCGGAAGACGGACACACACCTTTACACACATACCCGATTATTGCTACCATACCGGCCAATTTTAAGAGATGGAAAAAAAAGCAATGGCAGCATCAGGGGGGGCTGCTGAGCACATTTGAATTGAAATCGGATTGGGGCCCAGCATTTTGGGCCCCACTCCGATTTTGGACCCCCTGCAGTGAGTGTGCTCCCACCGATGGGACCCTGCACGGATAGATATGTAAGGACACACACACACACACACACACACACATATATGTATATATATATATTCAGTGGTTTATTTTTGTATTCTTTCCTTCGAAGTAGAAAGTACATTATGGCTCCCCTGAGAAGTGAAATTACTGTAGCTCTTAGTGCAACATGCTGAAAGCAATAAAAATAAGGATCCTCTTCTCTAATGGTGCATTAACACAGCACGTGGTGAAGGCAGGTAGTTCACAGCATTTATTAATACTTCAGGAGTTTAATCTATATCTATGTTTGTAATAATTGATTGTCGTAGGTATTTTATTGAATATTTCTTTACATGCTGGTCTTACTTGTGCATTATACGTTAGCTGAAATGGTGCATAATTAAAGTTTCCTTAAGCACTAAACTGTAATACTGTGGGGGAAAAAAACAGTAAGGGATGGAGAGGGAGGTTGATAACTGACCTTTGGATATACACTGCTCAAAAAATAAAAGAAACATGTAAACAACACAATATTTAAACTATCCACTTAGGAAGAAATTTCACATGCTGTTGTACAAATAAACAATAGCTGGAAATTATTGGAAATTAGCAAGACGCACTCAGTAAAGGAGAGGTTCTGCGGGTGAGGACCACAGACCACTTCTCCGTAACTACGCTTTCAGGCTGATTTTTTGGTCACTTTTGAATGTTGGTGATTCTTTTACACTCGTAGTAGCATGAGACATACACAAGTGGCTCAGGTAGTGCAGCACACCCAGGATGGCACATCAATGTGAGCTGTGGCAGGAAGGCTTGCTGTATCCATCAGCATAGTGTCCACAGGCTGAAGGTGTTACCAGGAGAAAGGCCAGTACAGCAGGAGACACGGAGGGCAACAACCCAACAACAGGATAGCTACCATTGGCTTTATGCAAGGCGGACCAGGAGGAGCACTGCCAAAAGACTGCAAAATGACCCCCAGCAGGCCACAAATGTGCATGTGTCTGCATAAACGGTTAGAAACCGACTCCATGAGGATGGTATGAGGGCCAGACGTCCACAGATGAAGGTAATGCTCAAAGCCCAATACCAAACACAACATTTGACATTTGCCAGACAACATTAGGATTGGTAAATTCACCACTGGTGCCCTGTGCTCTTCACAGATGAAAGCAGGTTCACACTGAGCACATGTGACAGAATTTGGAGACACCTTGGAGAGCGTTCTGCTGCCTGCAACATCCTTCAGCATGACCGATTTGGTAGTGGGTCGGTAATAGTGTGGGGTGGCATTTCTTTGCCGGCACAGCTCTCTATGTGCTCGCCACAGATAGCATGAATGTCACTAGGGACTGAGATGAGATCCTCAGACCCCTCTGTGAGACCATATGCCAGTGCAGTTGAACCTGAGTTGCAGGACAATGCTAGACCTAATGTGGATGGAGAGTGTCAGCAGTTCCTGCAAGATGAAGGAAATGAACCTCCGGATTTTCCTCCCTGTTGCGCAGACCTGAATCTGATTGAGCACATCTGGGACATTAGGTCTTGATCCATCCAACCAACGTCATGTTGTACAATAGACTGACCAGGTGATGACGGATACTTTAGTCTAGGTTTGGTGAGGAGATCCCTCCGGAGACCAACCATACCCTCATCAGGAGCATGCTCAGGTGTTGTAGGGAGGTCATACAGGCATGTGCAGGCCACACACAACACTGAGCCTAATTTAGACCTATTTTAACGACTTTACATCAAAGTTGGATCAGCCTGTAGTTGGTTTTTCCATTTTAATTTTTGGTGCAACTCCAAATCAAGGCCTCAATTGGTTAATACATTTGATTTCTATGGATGATTTACATGTGATTTTGTTGTCAGCACATAAACTTTGTACAGAACAAACAGAACAAAGTACTGGATGGGAATCCTGTTTCTATGAATGACTGGCTGTGCTCTCTTTCATCCTCTGACATGGGAGCTAATCTGCCTGGCAGTGTGTTTCCTGAACGGTGCCGCCTTTTACAGTTGCTTCTCTGTATCTCTGCTTCTGTCTCCTTGAACCCCAGTCGGCCTCAGCAGATGGCCGCTCACACTGAGCCTGGTTCTGCTGGAGGTTTCTTCCGGTTAAAAGGGAGTTTTTCCTCTCCACTGTCGCTACAAGCGTGCTTAGTGTGAGGGATTGCTGAAGAGTCAATGAGTCGATGCAATCAGCTGGTTTTCCTTAGATAGAAAACTTTGAATCAATCTGACTGGATGATCTGGTTGAACTTTAAAGTGCCTTGAGATGATATGTTGTGAATTGGCTCTATATTCAGATTTAGGATGTGTTAATTGAGCGTTCCCTTTATTTTTTTGAGCAGTGTAGTTAAGCAAACACAGACACTAAAGTTTGTCCATTTTACCTTCGGAGTGGGGGTGCTGGGCTGCTGATAGCCACAGAGAAACTGATGTTTCAAAGTAAAAACACAAAGAAGACAGAAGAGAGACGAGGTCTGAGTTGAAGAGGTGTTTGTGGTAAAAGCCCCCCTCCCCCCAACCTCACACTGCACGACAACAGAGAGGAAACATACAGTGCAATAGTGTTTTTGTTTGTTGGCTTTACCATAGCGACATCAGCTTGGAAGATCTGCTTGATAAACTTGTTCTTGGACGAGTGGACGAGCTGGATGATGTCTGTGTGAAGGCTGTCACGGTTTTTCTCTAGAAATCCTGACCGATGAATGAAAGGGGAAATAATACAAATGGATCAGATATCATCTTAATATTAACAATATGATTTAAACTGTGAAGGTTAGTGCAAATGGTATGCTTCAAAGATAGAGAGGTTTTGAGGTGTGGTTTGCTGGTTCCAATGTTGAACCAATAAGCAAGGCAAATTTATTTGTATAGCACAATTCAGTACAAAGTTAAAAACAGTTGGACTAAAAAAAAATGTAAAAGTTGAACTAATGATGTTTTAGTTGAACTGTTTAACTAGAACAGTCGAAGGCAATCCTAAACAAATGTGTTTTTAGTCTTGATTTAAAGGAACTCAGGCTTTCCGCACTTTTACAGTTTTCTGGAAGTTTGTTCCAGATAAGTGGAGCATAGGAACTAAATGCTGCTTCTCCATGTTTAGTTCTGTTTCTAGGTATGCAGAGCAGGCTGGAGCCAGAAGACCTGAGTGGTCTGGAGGGTTGATACACTGATAGCAAGTCTGTGATGTATTTAGCTGCTAAGCCATTCAGAGATTTTTAGACTAACAGAAGTATTTTGAAGTCTATTCTCTGAGATACAGGGAGCCAGTGGAAGGACTTTAGAACCGGGGTGATGTGCTCTACTTTCTTAGTCTTAGTGAGGACACGGGCAGCAGCGTTCTGGATCAGCTGCAGCTGTCTGATCCACTTTTTAGGCAGACCTGTGAAAACACTGTTGCAGTAATCGATTCGACTAAAAATAAACGCATGGATTAGTTTTTCCAGATCATGCTGAGACATTAGTCCTTGAATCCTGGAAATGTTCTTCAGGTGATAGAAAGCCGACCTTGTAATTGTCTTTAAATGCTTTTGGAGGTTCAAGTCTGAATCCAGCACTACACCTAGATTTCGGGCCTGATCAGTGGTTACTAGCTGAAGCGACTGAAGCTGTGTGCTAACTTTAGATCTCTCCTCTATTGGTCCAAAGATTATTACTGCAGCAGATTTATAAATAAAAGTATCAGTTCATTATCAAATTATTTACAACTTTATCTCTGTTTTCCATCAAAGCAGAGGTCCTGAATATATGTCGGATTTTTATTGAGTTAAAAATGTGCTCAAAAAAAATTATAAAAATTGTGATGCATGTTATTTCATGGTAGGTGTTTAAACTGTAACTCATCACAGTTTTTAATGTTGGTCATTTTTAGCTTTTCATCCAGATCAGAATTTGTTTCCAGTATTTAAGATTTCATCAATCTTGAATCAATTTGACTGGATGATCTGGTTGAACTGTAAAGTGCCTTGAGATGACATGTGTTGTGAATTTGGCGCTATATAAATAAACTGAATTGAATTGAATCAAGCTGTAGCAGCAGATCAGAGTGCCTGTTACTCTTCTGTTGTTTAGGTTTGAGTTGTGTTTGTTACTAATGTACGTTGTGTATAACAGCTGGATTTTAGGATTGCTAGTTCTTCTTGAATTCATGTAGTTTGTAGTTAAAGTGCAAATGAGCTTTTTATTCTAAATATATTTCAAATCTTCAAAATCAAAGAGAAATCTTCCAGTTTTTCTTTCAATGTGGATGAAAAAGTTAAAGAAAGTACCTCTGGATTCATAATGCACCACTCCAGCAAAGTGTTGAATGCCAAACTGGGTTTCATAGCTGTTTTTAGGAGGAAAGTAGTTGGTGTTGAGCTTGTGCTGTGAGTTGAGTTTATACAACATTGTAGCGTCGGTCCCCTAATAAAAGATAAAGGACAACAGATGGTTTTTATTGTCTTCACGCCACGTATAACTGGATCTGTTTGCAGAATAAAATAAAAACGACATCTGTTTGTTTTGTACCTTTGGGAACTTGCTCTCTTCGTCGATGAGGGAGATGATGTTCATGGGTTTGTTGGCGATCATGTCTAGAGCGTCCTGGTTATCTGTGAACTCGATGTGCTGCCAGTTGATGTCCTCCAGGTTGTACTCCTCCTGCTCCAGTTTGAAGACATGGCGAACGAAGAACTGCTGCAGGTTCTCGTTGGCAAAGTTAATGCACAGCTGCTCAAAACTACAGAAGGAGACAGAAAGTTTCACAGACAATACAAGGAAAACAAGCTAGATAGAGTTTTAATCCCCCAGAAAAGATTAGCTACCTGTTGACGATGAAGTTCTCAAAGCCGAAGATGTCCAACAGTCCGATTGACCTTCTTATAACGCTACTCTCGCAGGTAGGAGGTCGGTAAATGGCTGCGTTTATTTTATCTACTATCCACACAAACAGCCTGCCGTAAATCCCCTGGACAAATATGGCACATTGTCAGCAGCAAACAAATTCAGTCCAGTCAGCAAGGAATAACCAATGGGTCATTAGTTATACCTAAAACTAATGCGTTCATAGTGATTTAAGAATTTACCGTTAATCAGGAAAAAGTCTGGTGACATTCAGAATTAAAACTTCTGAAGGTACTTTAAGTATGAAATGATTACATATTTTTCAATAAACGATCAGTGTGTTTAATTCAGAGTAATTGTCATTTGAATGTGCTTTACTGGAGGCATCCATGTTTGTCAAAGACCACCAGAAGATGGCAGGAGGGAGGTGTTGCTACCGTATTTTCATGACTATAAGGCGCACATAAACGTCTTTTTTTCCCCCTCAAAATGTGCGGTGCGCCCTATGGTGCGGTGCGCCCTATGTGTGTTGCAACTGCGACTTTTGAGACCACCTCATTGAGGAGATGATGAAAGAGTGGCTGAATGTAAGGAGACCAGGTGTTTTTTTTTCCACTCATCACCATCGCTGTTAATCTGACTCCATGTGTGCCCATCTCACAGCTGATGTGAAAAACATGGTGAAACAAATTAATGCTGTGCTCGCTGTGAACCGGACGCAGCAGGTGCAGCAGAAGCAGCGAGTTTACATGCAAAGTCAACGGTTGACGAGCGTATTGATGCAGCAAAAGGTCCCGCAGCGCGTTTTGAGCAGCAGGCGCAGCGTCGGGAGCGCGCCGCCAACGCGCTGCTGCTGCTCGAGACGCGCCACATCAACCAATCAGAGAAGCTGATCTGGGAGCTGACAGCGAGACAGACACAGCGCTCTGATGACACATGATATTAAAGCAAATGAAAGGGCTGGATGGATGAGGAGATGATGAAAGCGTGGCTGAGGCAGGTGTATGTGAGGAGACCAGGTGGTTTTTTCCACGCTTCACCATCGCTTTTAATATGTGACTCCATGCGTGCCCATCTCACTGCTGATGAGAAAAACATGGTGAAAAAAATAAACGCTGTGCTCGCCGTCTGACAAAGGAACTTCAACCGCTCGACATCGGTGTGAAGCGGCCGTTCAAAGTAAGGCTGCGAGCGGCGTGGGAGCGATGGATGACAGACGGAGACCACAGTTTCACGATAAGTGGAAGGCAGCGCCGGGCAAGTTACGCCACCGTTTGCGGATGGATTGTAGATGCTTGGACTAACGTGTCTGCTGGCTCTGTTGTTCAAGCTTTCGCAAAAGCCGGCATTATTTCTGAGGAGCCGCGCTGCACGGAAAGTGACTGACAGCGAAGAAGGGGAAACTGGCATGTCTGATTTAGCGCAGCTAAATCAGACATGCCAGTTTCCCCTTCTTCGCTTCTTCGAGGTGCTGTGTCTGCCAATCAGACAATCAGACACAGCACCTCAGAAACAGAGGATGATGACTTTGATGGGTTCGATTAATACTTTGTAATAAATACTTGAATAAAGCACAATCATACTCAGTTTTGCTCCCGCTCTATTTTTCTACCTGAAAACTTAATTCAACAGCAGCCTCTGGGCGGGTCTCCTCCTCTTCACCGCGGCGGCTGGCAGGTGTTTTTTCATCTAAATAATCTAAATCTTGCAGCTATATTTGATGAGATCAGTGGGAATAAAGTAGTTTTAATATGTTTTTAAGAGAGAAAGTCCACCTGAAAACTTAATAATTGCAGTCAGTTCATCCAGATTATCTATTTCTGTCGGAGGCGCTCAGACCCCCACATACCAGCGGTGCGCCGACAGGAGAAATCCTTTCATCAGCAGCCTCTAGGCTGGGCAGCCTCCGGGTTCACGCGGTGGCTGGCAGGTGTTTTTCATCTAAATAATCTAAACTGCAGGCACCAGGATACCGGTAATAAAAGCGAACATATTCCGTCGGCAGGTTTCAGGATTTTAAGTTAATTTAGGAGCGATCACAGCGCTGTGTCATCTGCGATGTGTCTGTCTCACGGCCAGCTGCCAGGTTTGATTAATACTTTTTAATAAATACATGAATAAAGCACAGTCATACTCAGTTTTGCCCCCGCTGTATTTTTAAATACGCAGTAGAGGTATTTAAAGGTAGTAGAGGACATGTAGCTGTATATAAAAAACGCGCCCTATAGTCCGGTGTGCCTTAGTTTTAGGTATAAATAATGATCCATTGATTATTCCTTGCTGACCGGACATTTTCTTTAACATGTACGGAAGAGGATTAGGGCCACTGAAAAAAAAAGTCACTTCTACATGTTTAAAATTTCTACTTATAAAATAGATTTTAGAAATTAAATGTTTTTTCTTTACTCTTGAACAAACTTAGCTCCCTACCAGCAGTGAATAATAAATACCTTAACGAAGGCGTCCCTGACATCCAGTCCTTGTTCCACACTGAGGGGCGTGGTGACGCTTTCACCCCGAGTGATGAGGGTTCGAGTGGTCAAGCACACCATCACATCCTTCGCTTCCACCTAAAACACAAAACACTTTTCTAAAATGGGTGGATTCTTTACTATTGTCATTCGAAAATATCTATGGTCAAATCAAACAGTCCAGCTCAAAATGACAAGTCCATGAAATCCCTGAAGTTTGCAAATGACATAATTCTTATTAGGATCATCTCTGAGTCTGCCTACAGGTGGATTATTGATCACCTGGTGCAGCCAGAACTGTCCTGAACTCAACAGTCTGAAAACAATAGAAGATGGACCCCCATCATTCTGTGCAACTCTCCAGCTGCCCTTCTCACCATCATTGCTCAGGACCTGAATAAGGATCTGAACCTTACCTCCCTCAACAAGAAGCATAGCATAGGACGTACTTAGGGTGGCATTTAAAAAAGTCCAACCTGCCAAAGACAATGATGGTGGACTTCTACTCTGCCATTAAAGGTATAGTGGAGGATCTTCTTTTTCCGGGTCTATCATCAAAATAAGAGGTCCTCCTAATTGTCAATCATTCTGGTGATATGTTTACGTTAAGGCCGTCCTGAGTGCTCGTCCCCGTTTTCACTTACCGGTGGTGAGTCTGACATAGTTGAAAAATTGCAAATCTTCTTTTGGAAAGTAAGCTTGTATGAGTGATGCAAACAGAAACTTTTAAACAAGAGCATGCACCAGGAGAAATGGGTTCGTGCACGCTCTCGCACATGTTTAATAGGCGTTTCCTCTCTGGAGCAGGTTGTTGTGCATGTGCATTTTTTTTTTTAAAGTGGAGAGGGCAGGTCTTTTCAACAATTCTCAAAAAGTCGCCCACTATACCTTTAATACCAAATCCCTCATCACCACCTAATACACTGCTGCCACCACCGGGGGTAAAGGGCAGGCTACAGAGTAGCATTCGCTGAGACTTGTTGCATAATTCCTTCTCTGTAAAACTGTACAACATCAGATCCGAGAGGTGAGTAGCTAAGTTTGCAGCTAACCCCCTCCCACCCTGGACAAAAACTCTGGTAGAAGAAAATAGTCATTGAGGACCAGAACACCCTGCCAAAAAAACCCAAACACAAAACAGCTTCTTCCCATGTGCTACTAGTCTCATTAATAAGGCCTGGGTCATCAAAAGTCACTTGTCCTTTTAGAGTAAAGAACAAGAACAAACAAACAAAGAACCCAGACATTGAATGTAGTGTGTACGTAAATGCCTTTATTGTCCAATAAATGGGGTGTTTAACCCATTAATGCAGTGGGCTGCCACTGTGCAGTGTGGGGTAAAAAATGTTGCGATATGTCTGTTCTTAGCCTCAAATGCTCTAAATGAAGGTCTTTAGAGATAAGAATGAAATAAATGTTTTGAGAAGATCCATCTGGCCAGTGAAAGATATATTAACCTAACAGCGAACGGCCTTGATGAACTCAAGTTGTTCTCCTCCAAATGCTCAAGTGTGAGAAAGTTCTTTGTGCAGGGGGTGGGTTGGTTCCCCTGTAGGAGTGTGTGTTGGGATTTTTGTAAGGTATAAATGTATGTACTAAGGTTGCCTCAGTCAGAGCCCTATCTCTACATCTGGGGACGTTAAATAAATTTGAACCTTCTTTCTTGCAAGAAATGCCTAAGTCTCAGCTTCCTAACTCCAGGAACCCAGAGTGCAGGCTGTGGGGAACAAACAGGGTACTTGCAACCTTTTCAGAGCACAAGTTCACTGCTCTAACCCACTAAGCCAACACTGCCTCAACAGGAGGAGAATAATATGTACAATATTTCACCTAATTTTATACTGTTGTTTATTATTCATAACTGCTTTGGTGCTGTTCCACTAAAACTTATTGCCTATTTGAAATCATATATTCCCCAAATTATATAATCCACTGAGGGGGCTGTATCTTCTCCAAAGCCAATAATCATTTGAGATCACCTTTATGCAGCTCATGGCCCAGCTTCTCTCTCCCGCAGGCAAGTTAACTTTCACCCAACTCCACCCTGGTTCCTCCCACATTCTCAGATTATTCTGTCCCACTCACCCCACTGGCTTATTCCACCACCAATATCCAGGCCCCCCGGGAAAAGACTACTTTAATCATTTTCTAAATGCTGATTCGCTCCAAATTACTTTTCAGCTTCTGTCCCCTTGAACCCCAGTCGGGTTGGCCGCTGAGCCTGGTTTTTCTTCCTCTTAAAAGGGAGTTTTCCTCTCCAATGTCGCTGCATGCATGTTCAGTTTGAGGGATTGCAGAGGGTCAATGAGTTGATGCAATCAGCTGGTTTTCCTTAGATAGAAATATTTTTGAAGAATATGATTGTGTTACCTGCATAAATAAATTAAATGTTTTCCTAATTGCAGCTTTTCTCCAGGTTGAATTGGCTGAGAGCCCTGAATAACCCTGCATGTCTTTAACCTCCTGAATACTTTTAAAACCAGCCATTTGTATATTTCTTCAGCTTATATCATGTCATGGCTTTTATTGCACAGCAGCAGTGATTTATCATTGGTTTTGAAAAAGCTTGTTAGTTGACCAGTACACACGTTACCAGCCATCGAATGAAAGGTAGGTGTTTATGTTTTATTATTGAGGCTTCATTATCATCTTTGTATTTCATGGTTTTATGAGATTTCATGACAAAATGATGCCTTTCAGTCCCTTATTCCTTTTTATATAACCTATAAGTCATGGATTAGTATAAATAGAATATAATGACTTACAGTATAAACATGAACTACAGTGTTGTACATAATTCCTAGAGTGGTACAGACCTCCATGAGTGAAGCAGCAGTCATCAAGTCCGGAGACCTCACAACCACACAAGCATCCAGATTGTCGTAAGTGCGAGCTGCAGGAAGTGAGAAAATGTTTGACCAACCTCCACGCATCTACAGGTAATGATTCTGAGGTGTAGAAATACCCTCAAATCGCAGGTTGCCCAAATGCAGGATGGCTGCCAGCAGCTTTGAAATCTCCAGGTTCTCCGTCTCGCTAAACATAAGGACCTTCATGGCTGAAAGGATGCTGGAATAATCAGCGAGGTCATCACGGCCGTCACATTCAGTACAGTTACCCTAAAAATGTAGAAGACAGGAAGAGGTTAAGTATTCTGGAGTTCTAGGTATTGACAATTTTACAAGTAAATAAAGGCCTGATTTTACTGCATCTAGAGGACAAAAAGAGGAACGTTTGTAAGCCTGAGAAGACTGGGGGCCAGAATGATCTTGGGATGCTTTGTTGCAGGAGGAACTGATGCTGTCAGGACTCCTGTTTTTGTGTCTGTGTTTTCTGTGTTTGTCTCCCTTCCTCCACCAGGAGGCGCCTGGTTCTGGTCTGCCTCCTCACACACCTGCTGATGGTTTCCTCATTAAACGGAGTGTTCTTAAGCTGCTGACTGCCATTACTTAGACACCAGAGTGTTTGCCAGTTTAGGGTACTCTAGCCAAGCTGAGTTTGCTGAGTCAAGCTGAGTTTTTGTCAACCTGAGTTTAACTTTGTTTTGTTTTTGCCTCTTGGCAGGAAGTTGTCCTGCCAACTGGATTTCTCGGACCTTCACACCCTGGAAGGGTAAACTGAGCTTCAAACTGAGCTGGGATTCAAACAGGAGGTTTGGATCCACTTTCCCCGAGAGATCGTTTGAGCTTTCCACTGAGAAAGGGATAGTTCTCCACAACGACCCGTTCAAGTACCGCAAGAAATCTGAGTGGCAGTCATTTTCTCCGTTCTCCAACTATCAACCGCATTCTGGGTAAACCCTGTTCCGCCCTCCACCGAATCAAACACTGGAACCACGGCACACAGACAGGAGTCAAGGACACAACAACTTCACTGGAAACGTGAGTCGGCAACCAAATCCTCTTCTCCAAGTTTCACGAGTCAAATTCCCCACTGAGCCTGAACTAACCGCTGTGTCTTCCCCTCACTTTGCAGTTCCGGTTGAGCAGTGTTCAGAGCAACACTTCTCCCCCTGTTTACTTCTTCAATAAAACCCGTTAAACCTCTTCCCTGGACTCTGTTCCGTTATCTGCATTTTTGGGTCAGAACTTAGTAACATCATGACAGATATGTCTCATAAATTAGACTGCATCACAAGGAAATAATATTACGTGGAAGTATAGAAGCAATACCTCAAGACATCAGCCAGGAAGTTAAACATAAATCGATCTTTTGAATGGAAAATTACCAAAATCGAATCTGTAGTTTAAAGGTATTGAGGACGATCTTTTATTTCCGGGTGAATCCTCTCAATAAGTCATCCTCCTAACTGTCAATCATTCTGGTGATGTTTACGTAAGGCCATCCTACGCGCTCGTCCCCAGTAAGCTATCTTTTTCTATGCATGCGCACTTTTAAGGCGTATATGTGTGGTGACCTACGGTCTCAGACAGTCATCTCCTCGCAAAGCAATCCCATAATGCTTTGCTCGCAAAAGAGAGATGGAGGAGTTAAATGACCAATGGGGAGTACAAAGTAGTGATCATCTGTCCTGACTGTTAGTGAACTATAAAGTTCACTATGTATTCCCAGCTCTATACAGTGATTAAGGGATTTGGGGGTAAGGTCAGCTTACATAAGTTTCGGTAAGCATACAAGTAAGCTTGTATGGTCTATGAGAACAGCAACTTTTAAATAGAGCGTGCACGAGGAGAAACGGGGTCGTGCACGCTCTGTTTAAAAGTTGCTATATATTAGGCGTTCCCTCTTGGGAGCAGGTACAGGGTCATGAATGTGCATTTATTTGTGCAAGTGGAGAGGGTGGGTCTTTTAAAGGAAAAGTAGCAATATTCAGAATTCAAACCTCTGAAAGTACTTTAAATATGAATTACATACTGTTCAAAATGGCTGCTCCCAGACTCAGTGATCGCGATCAAAAATATTATTTTTATTTTTTTACTGATTAATGCAAACCTTGCTCACATACTCACTATTCTGATATTCAGCTTCTCTTAATAATAACTGACCTCAAACCAAAAAAGTTTAGTCTGGTATCTTATAATACAAATAATTATGTGTTGTCTGATCTGTGGATCACAATGCTGGTCTCACTGTGGTGAGGTAGGAGTATTCTCTGGCCAGGCCAAGACCCAATTTAGCCTTCATCTCTGGAGCCATGCCCTTCAACATGCAGTAGAAGATGTGATAGTTTCTCTCATCCGCAGCCTGTGGAGGAAGAAACAACATTCAATCTGTATGCTTATGCAAAGATAAGTCAAGTGTTTGTTTATGTTCTGTTAAAATTTGTCTTCTGAAAGCATTTGGTATCCAACCAGTATTGGATGTTTTCATTGAAACAATAATTTTAAACACTGATGTGGTAAAAATAGGTGATCAACACAGGATGACCACCCTACCTCATCCTGTGCTGACCTGTGTGGAATGGTATTTTTCCTTGGCCTGTTTGTGAGTGATGTAGTCTGTCTTTTCTTTTTTTTGAATAGGAGTGATTACTTAGGAGCCTTGTTGAGATGAAAGGAAAGGAAAGAGGTTCGAAAGGAAGTTAGATAAGGGAGAAACATGTCAAGATTCTCACGTTCTAGTGTGAATAGAAAACAATTGTCATCTCTGTCCTTTGATGAACTAAAGTGTTCCTCTTGGGAAATGTTAATGTGTGGGGAGTCCCCTTTTTTATGCAGGGGTTGGGATGCTGCTAACCTGACAACAGCCAGATGCATGTCTAGCTCCGCCTAGCTCCAGTCACATACATCTGGGACATCGCTCATTGAAAGTGATTTCCACAACCAAATTTATGGTCTGGTCAATCAGGACGCAGGGCGGGTGTTTCCTGGATGTGACGTAGTGGAGAAGCGAGCGTGAGATTCCAAAAACAATGGCGGCTTGCATCGAGGAAGCAAGCGTTAGCATTGATGCTGCTATTTCCTCTGTGTTGTCCAATCTATCTGATATTGTTTCATTAAAAGAACATCAGAGAACGGCTTTGAAGGCTCTTCTCACAGCTTCACGGGTTAGCTTCGGTGTGAGTGGTTGAAATAGCACGTCGATAAAGATGACAGACAAGTGGCTTATCCAATCATATGGAAGGAGTTTTGATAAGGCCCAGCCTTCAGTAAAGGCAATTCCTATGGCGGTGTCCCAGATGTATGTGAGTGGAGCAAGGCGGAGCTAGACATGCATCTGGCTGTTGTCAGGTTAGGATGCTGCAGCCTAAGATCAACACTGAGAGCTGCATTCAGCTGGTCGTGTTGTTCTCCTCTGCAGAGTAAAATAAAACCTTTTCTTCCTTGGATATCAACTCTCAGTGCTCATTTTTTTTTTTACTCCACACCTGCCAAAGGGAGTACCGCAAGGCTTTGTTCTAAGACCAGCTCTTTTTCTCCTTTACAGAGATTTAAAGGAATAGTACACCCAAAACATGATTAGCCGTCATTTTCTACTCACCCCCATGCTGAACAACACTCTGGAGTACTTTTTTGATATCTCAAATGCATCTGGAGATCTGGGAGGCTTCTTGCTGTCTGCTGACATTCAAATAATGGAGGTCTATGGCGCCCGAGGCAGAAGGGTCCATAAAAGTCCACAAAAAACGTGTCAATATTCCTCCATACTGCTCTTCCATTGTATTCCAAGTGTCCTGAGTGGGTAGCGTCCATAATTTACTCGAAACGAAGTCATTAAGAATGTTTTTAGAGCATAAACAGTAGTGTATAGGATTTCCTAAAAGCGCGTTCACGAGTCTACGGAAACCGCGGCAGACCAACCCAGATGAAAGTGCGCATTCAGCTCGGCAAAGAACTCATGCTCTTCCTCAACACTGAAGTCCTCAGACATTTTTCTTTCGTTGTTTCTTTCTTTGCACAGGTAAACAGCACATTTCTTCTTCTACGCTTGCATTATCGGCAGAGCAGACGCTGAATGCGCACTTTCATCTGGTTTGGTCTGCTGCGGTTTCCGTAGACTCGTGAACGTGCTTTTAGGAAATCCTATACACTACTGTTTATGCTCTAAAAACATTCTAAATGACTTCGTTTCGAGTAAATTCTGGATGCTACCCACTCAGGACACTTGGAATACATTGGACGAGCAGTATGGAGGAATATTGACACGTTTTTTGTGGACTTTTATGGACCTTTCTGTCTCCTACGCCATAGACCTCCATTATTTGAATGTCAGCAGACAGCAAGAAGCCTCCCAGATCTCAAGATGCATTTGAGATATCAAAAAAGTACTCCAGAGTGTTGTTCAGCATGGGGGTGAGTAGAAAATGAAGGCTAATCATGTTTTGGGTGTACTATTCCTTTAAATCTATCAATGTGCAGATGACTGTTTATTCTAACCTTAGCAGTCTGATGATCACTCTATTCCGCTTCTTGTTGACTGAGGAAATAAAATCATGGATGGTTCGTATTTTTTCTTTTATTTCAATAAATGTAAAACCAAAATTATCCTATTTAGAACCAAATGCTCCACAGGTTCCCTCGGTGCTGATTTCCTTTGAGGTCTATCTTCACTAACTAAGGTGTTAAAATACATGTTGCCCTGGGATTTAAAAATTTAAAAGTTCTTGTTGGATTACTGCAATTCACCTTTAATAGGAATTTGCCAGGATACTGGGTCATATTTTCAGCTGGTTCAAAATGGGACAGGATCATTTTTAACTGGTTCAACAAGGGTTTAGCTTCCCTCACTTGCTTTTTTTTTTGTTTTGTTTTATACATTTCATAATAATTTCCATAGATTTATGTTTGTCTCGCGGCATTCCGCATATTTTAAAAGCCACCCCTGCACTTTAGCTCGTTTCCTTAGGTCAGCTGACTAGATGCTGCAGGTGGATCCTAAAGTTATTAAGTGAACTGGGAGCTGCTTCTGCACAAAAGCTCCTTCAGATGTTTTTAAATCTCAGTTCAAAAATGTATTCTACCATCTGACTTTTAACAGTGTAAGTAATAAAAGTATTAGGGCCAGGCTAGAGATTTTTAAATTTTTAAATTTTGAGAATAAAGTCGTAACATTGCGAGAATGAAGTCTTCATGCAACAACCTGTTTCAGAAAGAAAGCTTGGAGCTCCGCCCAGCAGATGACGCCGACAAGCTCCACCAATCAGCAACCAGAGTCCACTTTGACATCCTGCCCAGTTTGATGCTGCTGCTAAAAGATTTCCTTATTTGTCAAACCGATGCTGAATTATAACTTCACATGATGCTCCACATTCCTCATTTTTGGGAAGACAGTTCTTCTTGGAAGAGCTGTCATAAAATATAACTTGTTTCTCGTAATTTTAGGACTTTATTCTCTTAATATTACGACTTTATCCTCATCAGATTTGCGTTTATCCCTTTAGTTTTGTTCGAAAAATAGACTTTAAACTACATCAGTGGATGTGTATCCCTTTAATTAAGTATAAAAAAATAAAAATTTAAGGTCAGATCACCATACGCTTCACAAAACACCAGAAAGTAAGTAATTAAATAGTTTTTTTGTAAATTACTAAAGGCATACAGGTACGGGTATTTACACGCCCGTTGAGGTAGTTTAAAATTTATTTGTCGTTCAAAACTAAAGGGATAAACGGGTATTGACTATGGGTATGCTGGACTGACAGAACACCGGAGTACCCTGAGACAACCCAGGCATGCTCAGGGAGAACATGCAAACATGCAGAAGGGCCTAAAACCCCTCAGAGCAGAGCACCCTGTGTTCCAACCAAAACCAATGCAGTGTAATTTTAAACGGGACCGTCAATGATCTGACTTCTCACCTGTCGACAGACACGAGACTTCTCAAGCAGGTACTGTTCTATTTTGGCCCCTTCAATGGCCCCTCGTTTGTTGAAGTGGATGTCTATGTACTTCCCAAAGCGACTGGAGTTGTCATTACGTATTGTCTTGGCGTTGCCAAAAGCTTCATAATTGAAAAAAAATACACAGAAAATGATAAAGAAGGTACAAACTGACATTTCACCTTAAACTAGCATGAAAGCTGCTAATTTAATTAAGCAGAACAGAAACTTTTAGATTACAGTATAACTAGAAATAGCAGAGAATGAAGCTGACCTTCCAGGATAGGCGTGGCCTCCAGGACCTGCTGCTCTATCCATGAATGCTGACCGCTGATGGCCGCCAGGAACTGCAGGATCAACTTGGTGCTCTCAGTTTTCCCTGCTCCAGACTCACCACTATCACAAACACAGAGCTGAGAACTGTCACAGGTTTTCCACAGGCAGAATTAATCTGATCCCCAGTAGCTTATCCAGTCAGTTCTAACTCTTTAATCATCACCGGCAGTCTTTTTACATTCATTTTGGTCTTAAAGGTATAGTGGACAATCTTTTATTTCCAGGTGGATCATCTAAATAAGTGGTCCTCCTTATTGTCAATCATTAGGTTTACATAAGGCCATCCTACATGCTCACTACCCGATCCGTCCCGGAAGCACGATCCTTCCTGCACATGCGTGAGCAGAATAAATTACTTAGTTTTTCTTAGTTTTTTATTCTTTTGTCTCTTTTTCGGGGTGTATTTTCAATATTTTTTGTATTTGCGTAAATATTGCATATTCTAAAAATGAAAATAAGCAATACACTTAAATAGCCTTTCGACCGTTACTCTTACTGCTCTGAGCATGTCTGATGATGACGTCACGCAATACAATGGAGAGAATGTTAAACGGATCCATTTCTTCCAGAAAAGTCTTCAATATTTTCTATACGATGTAGTTTAGCATTCTTTAATGTTTTAAGTATATAGATAACTATTTTCAGTACCATTATTACGTAGTTAGTGCCAGCGCAGGACAGATCGTAGCCTCGTGAGACCATCCTGATCTCGCGAGCTTTCAAGATTTCACTCGCAGATCAGTCTGGAGACTCTCCGTCAAAGAAAATTTGGAGCCGTTCACCAAACGAACGTCCAATCAGCGTTGGCTTTGAGGCGGGTTGAGGTGCGACGCAACGAGAAGCGCGACAGTTCAGTCTAAAGAACATGGCAGCTTCAGCCGATGAAACTAGCGTTAGCGTGGCTATCGAGCAAGTTTTATGGGAATTACAGAGTACTTCTTCACTGAAAGAAGAGCAAAACACTGCTCTGGAGGCTTTTCTCAGAGGAAAAGATGTTTTTGTTCTTCTCCCGACTGGTTTCGGCAAGAGTAGCCTGGCTTGTGGTTGTGTTTTCGTCGTCGCTCTGTTAGTACGTCATATGCTTTGTTGATCTGATTGGTTTATTTGGCCCGTCTATCACCACCATAGGCCAATCAGCTAACCAGTATTTTCACCCCTTCCCAAAATTACTTCTACGGAAGGTTTCCAGATGGATATGCGGAGCAAATCCATCTGGCAGAGTCAGGTTAGACAGATCGTGCTTCCGGGAGGAATCGGGAAGTGACATGCCCGCCGTCAGCTATCTTTTTCAGCGCATGCGGACTTTCAGGTGTATATCTGTGTTGAGCTACGGTTTTAGACAGTCATTGAAGCTCACCTTTCTCACTGCGGTTCTTTGTAAATGGCCTAGGGTCATAAGTAAGTAAGGAAGAAAAAGTGTTTACAAAGTGCATGAGAATAAAACAAAGGCCTCCAAAGAGGTACATATGTCCCAGAATGCTTTGCACGGAGAATTCTCCTCACAAAGCATTATGTGATTTGCTGTCACAGTGACCCACTGCTGCTACCCGACAGCAGCGACTAATATCAAAGATGGCGTAGGCACCGTGTGGTGGAGCAAATGGGGAGCAAAAAGCAGTGATCATCTGTCTGAACGGTCAGTTAACTGAGTTCACTATAAAGTTCACTATATAGTCCCCGCTCTATATAGTGATGGAGGGATTTAGGGCTTAGGGCAGACGTTCAGGCACAGTAAGCTTGTATGAGCTAAGAGAACAGCAACTTTTAAACATAGCGTGCACGAGGAGAAATGGGCTAAAGCATGCTCTCGCACGCGTTTAATAGGCGTTCCCTCTTGGGAGCAGGTACAGGGTTGTGCATATGTATCTAAAAAACATAAAAAATACACATGCATATGCTGAGCTTTCTATTATAATGTTTTCAATTTTGGGCGCATACATAGAGTATTCATAAAGAGTCCATAACTTATGTCCAACGACAGCATAACTCATGCATAACGCACGGCAGCGTAATGATTCTTGTGTATCATTTCATGGGCATTACGCAGAAAGAAAGAAAAACAGAATAAATAAAAAGAAAAAGAAAAAAGAAAACAGAAAGAAAAAAGGTTTGCAGTCGCTGCAGATTCAGCATCATGTGTGCTGGGAACTTTGTTGGTCGTGGCCATGCATGCTCAAAATTTCTCGAAGTTCTTGCCGTATATCGACGTGTGCCAGCTTCTCTTAAAAAAAAATTGAAAATCCTCCACAATACCTTTAAGTGAGCAATACATTTTTCAAGGATATCTTTAACAAGAATGGGATAAAGAAGTAGGAATCAAGTGGGAATTTTATCCACAAAGGATCCAAGAGTTTACATAAACCCTTAAATGTAAACCTACATACCGACTAATTTTAGGATATATCTCTAAATTACTTTTCAACCATTATTTTTTTTTAGGTATCAAGAAGCTATTTATCTCATACGCAGAATTATTAGAGCCCATTTTTTAAATTAGTAAGGAAGCGACTATTCCAATCGTTGCATTTCCGAATTCTCCTGAGTGGTGCGCGACTTTACACGAGTGAATAAAGTAAATTATCAAGATGGTGGGCTTGTTGTGGTGTAAGGTTTGCAGGCAAGTTTGGTTGTGGCCAGTTTGTTGGAAGCATCTTGCTAACCAGTTAGCAACTTAGTGCTAGCAGGTTCCCAATGGGAAATTCCATTGGGACCAAGTAGCACTAAAGTGGTGACTTAGAAACGACGCTGTCAAGGAACGCTATGGACAGCGGAAACATGCAAGAGGAGGAGAGTTTAGTGTCGGAGGTCGTGGATGAGTCTCCTCCGTCATCCATTTTTTATTTAGAGGAGGAAAGTGGGGACGAAGATGTTGTGGAAGAGGACGCCAGGGCGGCAGAAGCTTGGTTTGGTGTAGAAGGCTTCCAGCCGTACATGTTTGAGCCCTTGCCTCGCAACGCTGCCAGTTCTGTTAGCTCTACGCCTGCCGAAGACACAGACGTCCATCCCCGTGAACACTGGGACGCAACTCAATGGGAAAGGAAAGGATTCTGATTCAACCGTTGCGTATGACATAGGAATCAAGATGCTATGACTGAAAAAATTTGATTGACAGATGACCGTTGATATATGATTGGCTGAATTTAGGTGTTCAGGCTGATGTATAACTAACTGGCCTGCATAAAATAACAATTTTTTTTAAATAGAAATTTTCTAACTTTTTGGACAATATGGTCTGATAAAGAGTATATTTATATACATGTTTAAGCCAGAATGATTTGACATTTAAATATGATTTGACTTTAAAAGCTGTAATTCTGCCTTAAATTTTTTTTTCTTCATTCTAAATAAGAGATAGTTTCCCCGAACAGCAGCTGAAAAATGAACAAAAAAAACTACTGAAAAAGAGTAATGGAAAGTACCCAATTCAAAATAGAGAAGTTACACTAATAATGTGTAGTTAAAGACCAAATAATTGTCTCTAAAGACCTTTGAAAGTGCTGAAGATTGGTAAAGATTATGTTCCGTAAATAATAGTCTGATGATAAAAACATTTAAACACATGAAAGGTTGGTCTAAAAGTTTTGCACAGGACTGCAGCAGGAAACACACCTAATGATGCAGCACTGATCCTTGTTGTTCCTCTGCATGTTGAAGTAACAATTGTCAGCAATGGCGAATATGTGGGGCGGCATCTCTCCAATCTTCCTGTTGGTGTAGAGGCGAATGTGGTCCGGAGTGTAGATGGGAAGCAGCTGGTAAGGATTTACTGCCACCAGGATCGAGCCTGTGTATGTCTGCAAGGGAGGAGATCAGAGAAAGTGATCTAAAAATAGACATTTACTGACTAAATCACACTTTGCAGGTGAGGTTTTAGTTTTAGATGCCCCTGAAACCTAAATAATCTATTTCAGCGGTCAGATTCTCCACCTAAACAAAATAAAAATACAATCTGGATGCAAGAAAGTTTAACATATTGCAAAAAGAAAACAGAGGGGAAAAAAATGGTTTCCATCTAGCACAGTGAAAAGTCTTGATGAAAGCTAATCAGTAAAAAATAAACATAGTAAGGTTTTATTTTGCATTATACTAATATTATCTATTAAAACGGTCAGAAAAGTTCCAGCTTAGGAAAATTTGTGCTCATGTTCTCTAACCTGCATGTGGGTTTCAACTTGCAATATATCAAATTTACAAGAAATTCCTCAAGATTTAGTCCTTTGAACTCTTTGGTTAAACTCCTGGCTAAGTTTACATTCTTTAACTGCAATTTTTTTCTTTTTGAATACACCGACTATTTCAAAACCACAGTGCACTTTGCTACATGACACAATAAAAGCTAAATAGAAAAGATAAACTAACAGACCTTCAGAGAGCCCAGGCACTGTCTGTGGTCACCTACAGTTTGGGAGAGGTGCAGTAGAGAGTGTCGCGGTGAATGCAGAGACGCCCCGCCCCCTTCTGCAGACACTGTGCTGCATCTCTCCCAAATTGTGGGTGACCACAGACAGTGCAGCAGACAGGAAGCCTCTGATTGGTCAAATCTACATCCGCTGTACACTATGCGTATTTCCTGTTTGGCTCCTTACCAGTGTTGGGCACGTTACTTTGAAAAAGTAATTAGTTATAGTTACTGGTTACTTCTCCCAAAAAGTAACTGAGTTAGTAACTGAGTTACTCCACAATAAAAGTAACTAGTTAGTAGTAAAAGTAACTATTGCGTTACTTTTGCGAGTGAATGAAATTAATAACTGGAGATGTATAATTCTGAAATCCTGTGTTTGTTGTTATAGATACTGCAACATCCATCCATCCATCCATCCATCCATCCATCCATCCATCCATCCATCCATCCATCCATCCATCCATCCATCCATCCATCCATCCATCCATCCATCCATCCATCCATCCATCCATCCATCCATATTTCTCTCTTTCTCCATATAGGCTAATGATCGTTCACGCTCTCCGTAGTTCCCCTGTGGCGCGAGCACAGTGCGGCTGTTACGCGCCTTTAGTGAACATGCGCGTTTCCTGTCGCTTGCGCGGTGAATCGTGCCGCCTGCGCTGTGCGGAGATGCAGAAACCGTATCTGATGGGGAAACGCAGCTCGACGTAACAACGGTATTTCCATCTGGAAAACGCTGTTTTGCCGCTGGAGTCCTCCTCACTCTCCATCCTCCCCTCTCTCATGACGCGCGCACGAGTCCTATCATGAAAAAAGGTTAATTGTGCGACCTGAGTAACGTGCAGTAACGGGGTGTCGGCAATTGTAACTGCGTTATAGTTACAATAAGAGTAATAATTTTGATTACTCGTTACTAAAAAAGGTAGCGGTGTTAGTAACGCCGTTACATTCAACGCCGTTACTCCCATCACTGTTCCTTACCCGGCTCGTTTTGTTTGTATGACCACGATTGCGGAAAACCACTTGTGAAGATGGAGCAGCTAGAAGAGTGAGGTGCGAGAGAAATCTGGAACTGTTTTTCCACCAGGATCCCCGCTCTTTCTCGCCCTCATGTCCCTCCGTTGTCGGACAAACTTGCCTTCACTTCCTCACCGCCTCGCCCGTATCTAGATCCACAGCTAGTTCCTGATTGGCCCTCTTGCATTGTGGCGTGGAATAACATAGAGCAGACCACGCTTCAATATTGGGTATAAATCATATAAATCATACCTGCTCACTGCGACACACTGCTGCCAACGACTCAGAATCTCCTAAAACGCTGGCATGCGCTGAACTTTTTATGTATTTTTTCAATTTTAGGCGTATTCATAGAGTTTTCATAATGGGTCCATAACTTACGTCCAACGACAGCCTAACTTATGCATAACACACTGCAGCATAATGATGCTTGTGTATCATTTCATGGGCATTACACATTATGCAGCATCAGTGAAAGAAAAGAAAAAACCAGAATAAATAAAAATGAAAAAGAAAGAAAGAAGGATTACAGTCGTAGCAGATTCAGCGTCATGTCTGCTAGTTTGTTGGTCGTTGCTGCGCATGCTTAAAATTTCTCTATGTACCGGCTGTATGTGGTGATTATGCTGTACAGACTCTGCTGTATTGTTTCAGCATTCTTCAGCGTGCTCATAACAAAACATACCAATAACTTATTCAAGGTATGCCAGCGTTTTTGCCAGATTTTCCGTACGTCAGGCATCCGCTGCTCTAAATCCTCAAGGTGTGACAACCTTAAATAACAGCAAGTCTAAAGCTCCCTTTATAAAAACAACAGCAAAAAACCAACAGCTAAGAACAACCCTCAGGGTTGCAGAAACCTACAAAACTTTAGGACTTTGCAAATGTTTTTGTTTGGAAAGTGATGTCTGACTAACATAGATGACATGTTCATTGTAGCGGATGAGAAGGTTGCGGAGGATGCCGGCTTCGTTAAGGTCGCCCAGTCGGATCATGTCCTCTACGCCGTGGACAGAGGTTGGGTGCATTGGTTTGATGTTGGTGGCATTCTGAGGAAAGATCCAATGTTCCTGTTCAGGTAAAGAGAAACAGGGAATCATTCAGCAGATAATTTACATTTTAAGAAGAACTTAAATTACAGCTACTGTTTACTTTTAAATTAAAGTCTATACAGAGTTAAATTACAACTTATAGAACCTTTTTTTTTAGGTTTTTATAGTCTTCATGCTGTCACAAGAACAGAGCAACGAAATTCACACTCTGCATTTAACCCTTCCCCTTGGGGAGCAGTGGGCTGCCATTGTGCGGTGCCCGGGGAGCAGCGTGGGGTTAAGGGTCTTGCTCAGGGACTCAGATGTGCATTCTGTGGAAGTGGGGCTCAAATTCAGAACTTCAGGATTCCAAGCTCTATGCCCCAAACCACTGGGCCGCCAGGTTTACGCTGCAAAAACCATCTAAATATAAGTCAACATTTCTTAACTTAAGTAGGTAAATAAGATGATTTGCCAATGTAATGAGTATTTTTACTCTTAAAATAAGATAATTAGATAATAAGCACTTGAAAGAAGACAATGTAATTGTATTTTTTCTTATTTTAAATGTAAATTGTCTTGTATTATTGGCAAAGTCTCTTGAAGACCTCCTTAATACAAGAAAAAATGCACTTATTTGAAGAAAAAATGACTTAACTAGATTTCAATGTTTTTCCAGTGTAGCCTTTAATTAATAGTTTTTGTCTGTTTTTATTTATTTATTAGTTTATTTATTTAGTTTAAGTTTTAATTAAATAGGAGAATGATTGGCCGTCATGTGCTTAAAATTACACATTTTCTCAGTAGATTTCTTCTCTTGGTATGGGAACTCACCCGGCCTTCATCGTCCAGAACCTGGATCTGTCCAGAGTCGCAGAGTTTCACCACAGCTCCCACAGGGACGTCAAACTCGCGACCTGTCTTAAGGTCCAACCACACATAGTCCCCCTAGGGTGGAAAAAGGGCAAGTATTTTAGGATTCAGGAAAAAACAAAAAAAAACAAAAAAAACGTTTGTAAGTTAATCTAACTACGGAGGACGAGAGCGGCCGTGTCCCTCCGATACTTCTTCACGGTGGTTTTCACGAGAAAACAAGTTAGTTTTCTCATTATCTAAAGGTAACGAACGCTGTTTTCTCATAATAACGAGTTGATTGGTTTGTGTTAAAACTGATTACATCCTTCAATACCAAGGGCAGGGGCGGATTTAGGAAATATGGGGCCCTACGCAAAGACAGGCATCTCTTTTTACAGATAGAGAAATGTTAATAGAATAGACATCCATTATCTGTTCTAGGTTGTGTCCCTCTCTTCTTGTCCCTTTTCTTCTTGTTTTCCTCTCTATGTTTTGTACTCAGATGACTTTTCATGCTGTCTCTAAAGGAATGAAAGATTTTTTCCAAGCACTAAGCTCACTTAGCTGATTGCTCCTTCCTGTGTTTCCAAAAAGGCCAGAGTAAATAACCCAGTCCTTCTTTTCACTGTAGACAAGCCATGATCTGCAACACACATTCTGATGGCATTTTAGCATCAATGGCATCAAAAACATAATTAATGTGCACATATAAGGCAAAGCTGTATTAACCATACATGTAAATAGGGTTTTATGGGGCCCCTGGAAGCTTGGGGCCCTAGGAAACTGCTTAGTATTGCCTAATGGCAAAACAATAGTTCAGTGGGTGAAATGGATGTAGAGAGAAGTTCAAACCCCATCAACACCTCCTTTCTCTGCAAATCTCACAAATCTAAACTTCCACCATAAAACGGGTGAATCCAAACAAAGCCCAGAGTTGACGAAAACTCTAGGATGTCGCCATATTTGGTTCTGGCCTGTACTTTTGTCACGCTCCGAACTTTACATACAGACCTGTTCGCAACGTAAGGCCGTCACAACCGCAAGCTGGAAGTATGTTTTTGTCGTTAAGCTGTTGATAGCAATGCTAGTATATCTACTGTAGGGTGACCAGATTTGGGTTGTTGACTGGACCGGACCTCAGCAGAAAGCCATGAGCCACCCGTCCTCAGCCGGAGGAGGGGGGCTGGTAAGACAGGCAGGGGGGAGCACGGAGTTCAGGCTACCGTCACCAGGTCAGGTTCAGTCGCTCCGTCCCCCCGCTGGCTACCTGCCCCTGTCCGCCGGGGTTCCTGGACCAGCTCCGGAGCTCACGGCTCAATTCTACAGCACTTTAGTCGACGAAAATCCCAGAAGATTTTGAAATTCCCATTTTTTTAGTTATGAAAAGTAGGACATGTCCGGGAAAAAGAGGACGTCTGGTCACCCTACCATATCAACAATCTGATGTTTCAGTGAGTGAGTGCTTGTTGCTATGATGCGTCTTTGCTCAGCAGCTTTGCTCGTTGTAAACCAACCAATCAGAGCACAGCTCATCTAAATATTCATGATCATTCCATAAAAGGAAGAAAACCTGTCGTTTCATTCTAGGGCTTTTAACCAGGCTGCATTAGGGCTCATAGAACAGCTAATATGCCATTTTCAGCCCAACCAATGTTACACACCCTATTAGAGACCTGAAGGACCAGATACCCTATAGAATCATTCTATCACCCCTTTAAAGTATCTAAAGAGGATCATAAAGGACAGGGCAGACTGTAAGTATGAAGACGAATAGAAAAGAACAGCAAATTGATGGAAATGATGGAGCAGAAGCAAATAATAAACACATTTGAAGACATGCTGATGTGGAACTTTTGTCACGTAATCTGTTCTTGTTGTTTGCCAAATCTTTTCAGATCTGCATGTTGAATAACCAGGAAGTATTAAGAGTTACTGATGTTTTTTTGCTGAATGGTTGGATTTATTCTGTAAAAGGCTTAAAACTGGCAAAACCTCAGGCCAAATGGGCGCTGATGTAACATTAGAAAGGCATACAACACAGAGTAAAGTTTAATTTTAGAGTGAAAGAGTAACGGCGGTGCAGAGAAAGACAGAATTTAAAAAAGGAAAGCTCTAGAAACAGTCTCTGCTAAATGTACAAAAATTGGCAGCATTTTTAGTAAAACAAGCTCAAGGTTTGATTAAATAGGTGAGACGAATGTTCATCTTTGCCTGCAAACCACTGAACATGTTTACTATCCAGGCATTGTATTTAGTGATATTGTGGTGCATAATTTAATGTTATATATTCTATATAATTGTATGATGCAATGCTATATTTATTAAAATAACTGTCCTCTCTGTTATTCCATTTGTAGATCACTAAAATAGGATTATTCCTGGACAAAACTACATTCCTACTAGTCAACAGAATGTTGATTCTGATACAGTTGAGAAGAATATATTATAAAGCAGTTGGGCCTGAATAAAGAAAATCATCAACCAGTAAAGGTCGGTACACATTTATTATAATCAGTTACTTTCAACAGAATTTAACACTGAAATAAAATGAGGTTTTTAAGCATCCATGTTATACATTAAATAAAAAAATATATATATTATGTTGAAAATTTGCACTCCTGTTTAAATTAATCTGCATTGTGAAGCAACCCTAATGTTACTGTATTAAAGGTATTTTATTAAAATACAATGAATTAAAAGCCTTTACAGAACTATGCAATGTAATAGACTGTGATCTATAAGTTTACAATTACATGTTCCTAATAATAATAGGTCATTATCTTACCATGAACTCCGTTTTATTGGTCCAATATATCATTATAATACAAACTCACAAGTGAATCATATACATACACTCATCCCAACAGCATGAAATCCAAAAAAACAAAAACAAAAAAACACCATCTTATAATAAGCAAACTCTGTCCTAAGACGTGCAGCTACCAGCCCTCTGAACATCAGGTCAACATCTACAGAATCTTTCTCCATTTTATTTCTCCTGCTGAGCCAAATGCTCATCTTTGCCTTACCAGACAAAAAATTAACCACACAAATATTACGCCGATGTGCCACTGATTATCTGGGACTAAAAATAAACAATTTGTTATTAAAAGTATCTTAAGTGGGCTTGTCTGAGGCGTGAAACTCCAGGGTTGAAAATTAGTCCAACTCAGGCCCTATTGATACGTATTGCTTAAAGCGGTATTAGCTTATCTGTATATTTCACTTCATAACAAGAAAGTTGTCTCAGATTTTTGCCCAACATGATCATATTACTGTAGCCAAGGTGAACCTTTAACAAAGCCCAGCTAAAATGTCTCCTTCAGTCTACTGAAGAACCATCACAGCAGATGTACTCTAGATTCGGTCTTCTTTTATTAACAATGGTTACAATTGGTGTTGTATAAAGTACTGAAATCTCGGAGTCAAGTAAAAGTATAAGTACCTCTCCAAAATATGACTTTGGTAAAAGTCCAAGTCACTGACTGAAATGTTACTTGAGTAAAAGTCTTAAAGTATCTGAAATGGGTTGTGCTTAAGTATAAAAATTACTGTAAAAATAGATGTACTCAAGTAATGTAGTGAAAAATAGGGATGCACGATATAATCGGCCCCCTATCGGTATCGGCCTAAAAACTGAATATCGGACATCGGCCACCCCACCGATATTTGAGCCGATATTTGATCAGCTTCTGAGTTTCTAAAGTCTAAAAAAAAATAAAAAATACTACTTCTTCTTCTTCCTCAAACACTTCTTTTTTTACAGACTTAAAAACTTCTAAAGACGAGGGAAAAAATATTGATACATTAAAATATCACAATATCTTCATATGCTGATATATTGCCATTTAAAAACACCATATCAATCTCTTTTACTAATGAAATATTGCTATATGTCATCGTTATGCTACGGAATCCCCCGAAAATTCATGAAATGTTGCCATATTTTTATATGTTGATATATTGACGCGGTATCGATCTATTTTACTAACAAAATCTCACAAGAATTTGCAAAATATCACGAGAGTTTGTAACAGAACGATGAAATTTCACCAGATTTTGAAAGTAAAATAGATCGATACCGCGTTTTTAAAAATCAATTTGATATCAGCATATGAAAATATATTTGAGAATATTATTTTTCAAAGTGTCAGAAATGGATAACAAAACTGCTATTTTCAATGACTACTTATTTTTGTCCAGCTTTAACATCGGTATCGATATCGGTTATCGGCTACATGAGTTTTAAAATATCGGCATATTGGATATCGGCCAAAATACCAATATCGTGCATCCCTAGTAGAAAAGTATAAGTAAAAAGTAGTGCAGTTTGAATGACATTTTTTTACATTTTGGTAAACTTTGAAGGTTAAATTCACTTAGAATAATATAAACAACCAAGTGTAGGATAAATTTAGACTGGCTTTGCGAAAAAGGCGAATCCTATTGGTGTTGATGAACGAGCCCAGGCAAGACCCGACTTTGTAGTCAGTAGGTGGAGTCAAAACACTTACAATTAAGTTTGTAAATGTGGTGAAGTAAAAGTGAAAGTTCTCAAAAAAATCTATACTCTTGGAAAGTATAGAGTACTCCAAAGTATACTTAAGTACAGTAGTGTATTTTTACTTTGTTACTATACAACACTGGTTACAATAGATACTCCTATAGATAGAAATGCCTAGAAATCAACACTTCACTTTAAAAAGGCTACACAGGCTGCTATGAATATTGGATTAAAAAAAGAAGGCTGTGTGTTTCCTGGACGGGGCCGCCTGTGGAGCTGGTTGACAGTTACATTTTGTATCTCTGCTTCTTTCTCTATGTCTGCTTCTGTCTCCATGAACTCCAGTCAGCCTCAGCAGATGGCCGCTCACACTTTCTTCTTGTTAAAAGGGAAATTTTTCCTCTCCATTGTCGCTACAAGCATTTTTTGGTGTGAGGGATTGCCTTCGGGTCAATGAGTCGATGCAATCAACTTGTTTTCCTCAGATAGAAAACTTTGAATCAATTCGACTGTATGATCTGGTGAACTGTAAAGCATTGAGATGACATGTGTTGTAAATTGGGCGGAGCTACTCTATCCTTTCTTTGCCTGGAACAATGGCAGCTATATTTTTTGTGATCAATGGGTAAAAAGTAGTTTTTCTATATTTTTAAGTGAGAAAGTCCATCTGAAAACTTAATCTGAGCAGACAGTTCACCCAGATTACCATCCTGCCTTCAAATATTATTTCTCTGTCGGAGCCACTCCATACAGCGGCGGAGCGCTGTCACTGGGAATCCCATTCAACGGCAGCTTCTGGCCCGGTCGGCTCTTTACGGTTTTCCGCTACTGTTCATGGCGGCCAGAAGCCATTTTTCACGTACAAATCCAAACTGCAGGCACCAGAATAAAATTGAATAAGTTTTACCTGCAGGTTTTGACATTTTAGGTTAATTTAGGCGTTAATAAGCTGTTTCAGAGGAGTGATCATAGCGCTCTGCATCAGCAGTGCTGTGTCTGTCTCCCTGCCAGCTCCCAGATCAGCTTCTTTGATTGGTTGATGCGGCGCGTCCAGAAGCTTAAGTTAAATTTTTCCATCTCCAGCAGCTGCTGCTTCTGAAGCGCGTCATGCACTGCTCCTGCTCAAAACGCGCCGCAGGGCCTTTTGCTACGCATTGATGCGCGTTAACCATTGAATTTGCATGTAAACTAGCTGCTTCGGCTCCTTCGGCTGCTTGCGTTCTGAACATAGCTTTAGTCAGTCTGTGGAGTCATAGTACAGGGGTCTGAAACCTTCACAATTCACAAGAGACACTTTCCCACAGTTCACACTCACAGTCCATCATTTTTTTCTCTACATAGAATAATACAACTGATTTCTATGAATACGATTTCAGGTATTAAAATTACAGCAGCTTTTTATGTCACTGCTGATAATTTGCATATCTGTCCAGCTGTTTGAGCGTATAAGAACTATTATGTTAGTTAGCTAAACATGGCTTATGAAGTTAAATTTTTGGTTAGCTGAAACCTATATAAAATACACCATTTTATTAAGTTTTGTATTGTTTTTTTTTGTTTACGTCTTTAAATATGTTGAACAGGTCTTTCTTTAAAATGAAAATCAAGGTATATTAATATATAAATGGTTAAATAAAGGTTCTATAACAATAATAAATCGTGAAAAAAATGACTGAAAGATTTGTTCACAGTTAAACAGAGACAGCATAAAGATTGCTGTGAAAACAGAGATATGCAAGTAGAACAACTGATGGGGAAAATAACAAGAAACTGTAAAACAAGCAAAAGCAACATAACCACCAAAAAGCACTGACCTGCTGCAGAATGACCATGGTTCAGTTGTGGGTTTATCTGAGGACATCAGAAGTCACCGTGTGAAGGAGACCTACAAAGACAAACAGCGACAGATATCAAATAAAAGAGAGAAGAAATATAAAGAAATGCTGCGATCATGCAAACATTACTGCCCTGCCTGGACTCATATAAATGGTAAGCAAATGAACCCCACATATCCCGTGGTTATACTTTAGTGAGAAGTTAAAGTCGTAGGGAAACTGCCGTTCCAACCGGTTCTTCTTAAATATCCCAAGTGGTGCACGACTTTACACCAGTGAATAAACTGAATGGGATTGGTCGTTTATCAAGGGGCGCAGGATTGTTGTGGCGGAAGGTTCGCAAGCATGTTTAGTTGTGGCCGATTTATCGGAAGCATCTTGCTAACCAGTTAGCAACTTAGTGCTAGTAGGTTCCCAATTGGAAATTCCATTGGGACCAAGTAGCACTAAATTGGTGACAAGATTAATGAATTCCTGAGCCCTTATTATTCATCCTCCACCATAAAAATGAATGAAACTTTACTGTTTTGATTGCAGTTAACATCTCTGCGTCAGGGTTTATTCACATTTTATGTTCTATTTTTAAAGTGCACTTTAAAATGCATTAAGCCTTTAACTTCGAACATCACTCAGACTTCTAACGAACTCTTAAACCCCTCTTCCCCTTTTATCTCTTTATTTTTGCTTATTTTCAGTAGTGTTTAGAGTTTTGCTAATAAAGGTACCATTGTATTTTAACTCGCAGTCTTTTGTGTTTATTTTACACGGTGAATGATTTATCAGTCACGCTGGATTCACTCTTCTTTCTGTAGCATTCGAATAAATAGACACATTTATTTGGTTGGTGGTTAATACTAAATTGGTGAAACACAACTGGATTTTTAATAGCCAGATTCAGGAGCAGTGGGCTGTCACTGTGTGGGGCCTGGGGAACAGTGTGGAAGTTAAGCCGGGCATTAAGCAATCGTTGCTCGCTGCTACGGCTCACACTGTACAGCGAAATCGCATGGTTCTGTTGTACAGCTTGAGTTCACAGCTCACGATGTATGCTTTCACACTGTGCGACCCGACGCTCTGATGCCATCTACCTGCTCACACTGTACATTTAAAAACCATGTAGGACTCAGCTCCGCAGTGAGATGGGGCTATTTGGACTCGTCTATCCAGAAGCCAAATGAGTAAAAGAGGAATATGAAGCTCACTAGAGTGAAACTCTCTGCCTTGGTGATTTGTGTAATTTTGTGCTGAAAGCCCAAAAAAGAAAAGGCAACGACGTATTTGGACAAAGACATGGCTGAGCAAACATGGCTACTACGGTCAGAAAGAACTCCATTTTACTCGCACCCCCACCATGCTTCTGGGTTTTCACCTGAGAGGCAGAAAAAGAAGATGAATCCTTGTTTGCGCACTGAGCGATTTGCCTACGGCCACCTTACGACCGCCAACTGAAAATCAAACACGCTTTATTTTCTCCCGACCTTACGATCCCTGATGGGGAGGTGGTCGTTAGAGGCTGATCGCTCCTCCTTCCCCCTGTACACTACACAACGCATAATCAGGCTAAAAGTCGGCCCGATCGAAAAATTCTCCCACGAAAGGTAAGTCGGCCCCAAAAGGGCAAAAAAAATCGCACAGTGTAAGCCCGGCATTGAGGGTCTTACTCAGGGACCCAGAGCACTAGCCTCGTGAGACCATCCTGATCTCGCGAGCTTTCAAGGTTTCACCCGCAGATCAGTCTGGAGACTCTCCGTTAAAGAAAATTTGGAGCCGTTCACCAAACGAACGTCCAATCAGCGTTGGCTTTGAGGCGGGTTGAGGTGTGGCGCAACGAGAAGCGCGACAGTTCAGTCTAAAGAACATGGCGGCTTCAGCCGATGAAACTAGCGTTAGCGTGGCTATCGAGCAAGTTTTATCGTAATTACAGAGTATTTCTTCATTGAAAGAAGAGCAAAACACTGCTCTGGAGGCTTTTCTCAGAGGAAAAGATGTTTTTGCTCTTCTCCCGACTGGTTTCGGCAAGAGTTTAATCTATCAATTGGATCCTCTTCGTCGTCGCTCTGTTAGTACGTCATATGCTTCGTTGATCTGATTGGTTTATTTGGCCCATCTATCACCAACATAGGCCAATCAGCTAACCAGTATTTTTGCCCCTTCCCAAAATTACTTCAACAGAAGGTTTCCAGATGGATATGCGGAGCAAATCCATCTGGCAGAGTCAGGTTACCAGAGCACAGGCTGTGGGGATCGAACCAGGTACTTGCAACCTTCACAGAGCAAAAGCACCCTGCTCTAAACACTAGTCCAACACTGCACAAAAGTCTAAGGTGAGTCTCAAACCAACAACCTCAGGAATGGAAGTCCAGGTCTTACAGCTGACGCCACTAGCAATGATTTAAACCTCATTGTTAGCGCAAAGAAAATTGTTTAAAAATAGCAGGGCTGAACCCATCAGCTCAGTACAGCTATGACCTTTTTTGATTCATCACAAACAAAGCAAGGGTTATCTTCAACATTGGTCAGAATAATATTAGATAGAGCAGGTTGCATACTGATGAGACAATGGAGCTGGTATGAGAGCTGGGGGGCGGGGGCAGCGGTCTGTGGGTCGACGCTGTCAAAGACTTAGTCAGATTCCTGGAGCTAATCCTATTGCTTAAGTAGCAGCCAGTAGGAGCTATGACTGCTGAATTACTTGGTGCCCTGCTGAGTCGTCCTTGTTTTGTTTCCTTTGTTTGTATGACTCTGGAGTGTGCAATGACATACAGCAGAGTCGCCTCATGATAAGTTAGGTCTAAGAACTTATCCTGTAACATTCTGCAGTGTGACAACATTGCAAATTCACTTTTTGAGTTAATGTGAGAAACAGATTTCCATTGCAAATGTTAAAAAGATTGTATGTTTAGGTCAATAGGGATCAATTAATTATGACAAATTGTCTGTATGCTGCATTTTAGATGCTTTAGTACTTTATAATAAGTATATATTTGTTAAGAATAGGTGGTTTGGTTTAGTTTCTTATGTTTACCCATAATGGCTAATTAGTTGATATTAAGGCAGAGCGTCTTATCCTGAACTCTGCAGGGAGCCAGTTTAGTTTAAATCTCTAAAACAGACGTGAATCTGATTTTTATTTAAACGTCACAATGACAGAAACATTTAACTGATCTTCTGGATTAACCTATAATGACTGACTGCAAAAGGTTCAGATCATACAGGAAGCTTTTATTGAATTAAGTTTTTCATTCAAGAACTTTAATCCTTGGGAATATGATCAAATTCTGTGATTTCTTTCACATTCTGTTTCATATTGAATACAAACTTCAACAAATTTAACTGAGAACATTTGTTTAAGTGTTTAAAATTTCTCAAAAGTTTTTTTTCTCTCAAAGTAATGATGTTAACATGTTCTTCAAGTTTTTTCAATCCTATGCTAATAAAGGGTTTATACAGGAAAGAGTAATGCTAATTTAATGTTTTTTAATGCTCCTAGAACAATACCATCAACAAGTACCCATGACTTTTATATATATATATATATATATATATATATATATACACATCTTTACCATCAGCAGGCTGCAACAATGTCCCAAATTCCTCGTTTTTCAGCCACTTTTGTTAAAATTAGCATTTTTCCCATTCTTTAGCTTTTTCTCTGTCTTAAGCTTCTTTACTGAACATATGGCTTTAAGATCAAACGGAAGCAGTTCCGCTCAAAAATGTGGAACACGATATAAATGTGGAACTAAAAATGAAATTGTTTTTATAATTTTTTTTTTTTAAGGATGTATTTAAAATGCCATGATAATAGCATTTAATGAATTTCAATGCCAATTAAGGCCTTAATTTAAAAAATAATAATTTCATGATTTTTAATGACCCGCGGAAACCCTGTAATAATACTGAATGGGAAACTATTCCCAAACTTTGAGTGTTATTTATGCACTATTTTTGCACGTCACGTATCACTTTACTTAGATTTATCACTTTACTTGGATCTATGACTTTACTTGGATGTAGTTTTACATATGCATATATACATATATACATACACACATATATATATATATATATAAAAAATTACATACATATGTATATATATATATATATATATATATATATATATATATATATATACACTATATTGCCAAAAGTATTTGCTCACCCATCCAAATTATTGGAATCAGGTGTTCCAATCACTTCCATGGCCACAGGTGTATAAATTCAAGCACCTAGGCATGCAGACTGTTTTTACAAACATTTGTGAAAGAATGGGTCGCTCTCAGGAGCTCAGTGAATTCCAGCGTGGAACTGTGATAGGATGCCACCTGTGCAACAAATCCAGTCGTGAAATTTCCTCGCTCCTAAATATTCCACAGTCAACTGTCAGCTGTATTATAAGAAAATGGAAGTGTTTGGGAACGACAGCAACTCAGCCACGAAGTGGTAGGCCACGTAAACTGACGGAGCGGGGTCAGCGGATGCTGAAGCGCATAGTGCGAAGAGGTCGCCAACTTTCTGCAGAGTCAATCACTACAGACCTCCAAACTTCATGTGGCCTTCAGATTAGCTCAAGAACAGTGCGCAGAGAGCTTCATGGAATGGGTTTCCATGGTCGAGCAGCTGCATCCAAGCCATACATCACCAAGTGCAATGCAAAGCGTCGGATGCGGTGGTGTAAAGCACGCCGCCACTGGACTCTAGAGCAGTGGAGACGCGTTCTCTGGAGTGACGAATCGCGCTTCTCCATCTGGCAATCTGATGGACGGGTCTGGGTTTGGCGGTTGCCAGGAGAACGGTACTTGTCTGACTGCATTGTGCCAAGTGTAAAGTTTGGTGGAGGGGGGATTATGGTGTGGGGTTGTTTTTCAGGAGCTGGGCTTGGCCCCTTAGTTCCAGTGAAAGGAACTCTGAATGCTTCAGCATACCAAGACATTTTGGACAATTCCATGCTCCCAACTTTGTGGGAACAGTTTGGAGCTGGCCCCTTCCTCTTCCAACATGACTGTGCACCAGTGCACAAAGCAAGGTCCATAAAGACATGGATGACAGAGTCTGGTGTGGATGAACTTGACTGGCCTGCACAGAGTCCTGACCTCAACCCGATAGAACACCTTTGGGATGAATTAGAGCGGAGGCTGAGAGCCAGGCCTTCTCGTCCAACATCAGTGTGCGACCTCACAAATGCGCTTCTGGAAGAATGGTCAAAAATTCCCATAAACACACTCCTAAACCTTGTGGACAGCCTTCCCAGAAGAGTTGAAGCTGTTCTAGCTGCAAAGGGTGGACCGACGTCATATTGAACCCTATGGATTAGGAACGGGATGTCACTTAAGCTCATATGTGAGTCAAGGCAGGTGAGCAAATACTTTTGGCAATATAGTGTATATATATATATATATATATATATGTACAGTGTTGGGAAAGTTCTCTTTCTACGTGAACTAGTTCAAAGTTCAGTTCACACATTTTAAAATGAACTAGTTCAGTTCATAGTTCATAATTCAAAATTTTGAACTAAGTTCACAGTTCCAAAAAATGAACTAGTTCATAGTTCTTTTTTTTTTTTTTTCATATATTGCTCAATTACACCATAGCCTACTGTAGAACCACAGACAGCAATTATTTTATCAGTTGTAACACTAAAACTGTGCGTCAGATTTCATCTTCATATGCAGTTTTGAATCCTTATCCAACCAGGGTTTACATTAGCATTGAGGGGACAGCATTTCCCCATTGTTGCTTTAACGCTTTGTTGCTGTCCATTCACTTCACACTAGTAGCAGCTGCAGCTTTCACCCCTACAGTATATTCTCAAAAACATCAGGAAAAATGTGCTGCTTGAATGGTCTTTTTTATGAGGAATTATTAAAAGAAAAACAGGAAAGTAGTCTTTAAGGTACAAATGTTTTTTTTATTTTAATTATTTTTTTCCATTTGAAATTTCATTTCAGTGCATACTAAAAAGGAATACTGGAATCCTGGAAAATTATACCAGGCATGTTTAAGTGAGGACATTTCTCTGCAAAGTTTGCAGAGAAATGTAAGATTGTTGCCATCATCCTCACCGACCACCTGGTCATAAAACTGTTTTAAGTGATCATACTGCTGCTTTGTCACCTCCACGGTCGCCTCCATGCTGCTGTGGCTTCCACGCTGCTTTTTGTGTTGATGACGCACGCGGCTGTAGGCTACGACGCTGGTAGCTGGTGTTGCCAGATTGGGTGTTTTTCCCGCTACATATTAAGGCCTGTTTACGGTGTGATTTAGCCGGGGTTTCGCCTGGAGGGCTCTATAGAAATCTGGCAACCTATTGAACAAAGTTGAACTGAGAGAGCGTGCCGTTCACAGACACCAGAATGAACGAGTTCACAATAACGTTCATCAGGCAGTAATGCAGTACGTTCAGTTCACGTTCGCCCAAAATATGAACGAGTTCATGAACTTTCGTTCAATGAACGCGTTCAGGCACAACACTGCATATGTATATATATATATATATATATATATGTATATATATATATATATATATATATATATATACACATGATCTATATGTGTATATATTTTTATCTTTATTATCTGGTGTAGTTGGATGTGTGTATATATATATATATATATATATATATATATGTATATATATATACATATATATATAAAACTGTAACTGGAGAGTGTAACAAAAGTAATTTCCCTCTGGGAATATTAAAGTATTTCTGATTCTGATGTGCCAAAAGTGTTTTGTTTTCTAAAAATGCAAAAATGAAAGTCAGACATTGCCTTTCAACAATGCTTCAACAGAATGATTTAAAAAAAAAACTAAACCAATGAAACAGGCCTGCACAAAAATGATGATTGCCCTAAATTAATATTTAGTTGTACAAACCTTTGAGGCAATGACTGCAACCAAACGATTCTTGTAACTGTCAATGAGATTTCTGCAGCTCTCAGCAGGTATTTTAGCCCAACCTTCATTTACAAACTGCTCCAGTTGTCTCAGGTTTGAAGGGCGCCTTTTCCAGATGGCATGTTTCAATAGGATGTAGGTCAGATAGAGGCCACTTCGGAATAGTTCAATATTTTCCTCTTAAGCCGGGCATACACTGAACGATATTATCAATCGTTGCACGCAGCTACAGCTCTGCAAGTTACATATAAGTTATGCAAAAGTTACTCATAGGTTTTGGATAAGCTGGACGCCACAACCTATGAGTAACTTACACTTAATATATGTCAACAATCAGATAATTTAGCTGTAACTTATGCCCCACGTCTGGCATAGGCTGGCATACGTCAGGAAATTATGAGCATGTACTTTCCGTATGTCAACGTCTGCCAGCGTGTTCCAGCGTGCTTCAGCGTGCTCAAAACTTATAAAAAATGTAACTTATCCAATGTATGCCATTTTGCCAGATTTTTCATTAATTTGGTGTGACAGCGGCTTTATTAGGCCATGCAGACTTGTTAAGCATAAACCAGACTTTAGAAAAATATCATACAGACCTAAAGTGGGATTTTTAAAAATTCAAGGGATTTTGTTTTTAGTTGAACAATAGTTTGTCTTTTTTTCCCCCCAAATACGACACAGGTCAAATCATTTTAAATTTGCAGTATGCATTGTTCATACAAACCATTTCTACCTATTCCTTTAAGTATCTTTCAAGATGCTTATCTTCCTTTCTGTTGTTGCAGAGATTTCTTCTATGAATCAGTTTTCTTTAATCAGTGAATCCTTGGCCTGAGGAAGCATCTGATTGTTTCACAGTTACACTCAGCAGCATTTTAAGGCTTTTAAAACAATCTGCAAATCACTTAATCATTACAGCTCACAAGACCTGAAGTCAATCTGCTGGAAGATTTACCCGCAGAGGCCAACGCCTGTTTAAAGCTCCTGGTTGTTAAGCTGTGTGTGATCGGCCCTGTTATTCCAACAAGTATGTGCACTTCACCCGTATCACTCACATGGCAGGGATTCACAGGCAAGTCTGGGTGTGACAATTTCATCATCGGCCAAGAACCTCTAGGAGACCCGCCTCCATGATGGCGGCTTAGGTTCAGTGTCTGAAAAACACACATCCAGCAAAAAGAAGATGCTGAAAACTATCGTGATCTGACATTAAACAAAGCAGTTCACCTTAACTACACTCTGAGCAGCTGCAGATCTTAGGGTTAAAGAGCTTTACATGACCTCTGAGGAGGCTTATATGCTGTACATCTGCACCTCCAGTATCCACGGTGATGTAAGCTGAGTTTAACGTGAGCCCTTTTTCAGTTATATTTCTAAAAGATCGTATTAAGACTAAAAATATATTAGTTTCATTGAGGGATGGTGTTTTACTATTTTTAAATGTTTCTTAGCATAAATAACCAATCAATTGGTTATCCTGTAGATTTCCATGCAGCTCTGACAAGTTATCAGATAAATAAACTGCCTCACCAACATACTAATCTGCTCAGTAGGCGCCAGATAATGACTCACTTAATTGATTAAAGTGTGTTTGGAACAAATACACATCTAAAGTTGCAGGATTTCTTGATGCCCATGGTTTGGCTTTTTTTTTTCCATTCAGTATACCTGATTTGAGTGAATGGCTCCTTATCAGAGGCCTCTGCAGAAAAAAAAAAAAGATCTTTTATCCTGCCCCTTACTGTATGCAGAACAACGTGTTTTGCTGTGTCAAGATGGGGGTAGCTCACTTTATTGTGATGTCACAATAAAGTACTCTATTTGAGGGGGGGATGGCATCCCCCTTCTTAAATGACCACCCTCCATACCATCCCCTGTGACATTTTATTACTAAGTGTGTAAAATTTCTACTATTTAATAAACAAATAAGTATCCTACCATGAATATGAAGCTGATCCCAGTGGAAAATTAGTCCCTAACTCTGTAGGGGCAGTGATAGCCATGCTAATTATGTAGGGGCAGTGATAGCCATGCTAACTATGTAGGGACAGTGATAGCCATGCTAACTCTGTAGGGGCAGTGATAGCCATGCTAACTATGTAGGGGCAGTGATAGCCATGCTAACCCTGTAGGGGCAGTGATAGCCATGCTAATTATGTAGGGGCAGTGATAGCCATGCTAACTATGTAGGGGCAGTGATAGCCATGCTAATTATGTAGGGACAGTGATAGCCATGCTAACTATGTAGGGGCAGTGATAGCCATGCTAACTCTGTAGGGGCAGTGATAGCCATGCTAACCCTGTAGGGGCAGTGATAGCCATGCTAACTATGTAGGGACAGTGATAGCCATGCTAACTCTGTAGGGGCAGTGATAGCCATGCTAACTATGTAGGGGCAGTGATAGCCATGCTAACCCTGTAGGGGCAGTGATAGCCATGCTAATTATGTAGGGGCAGTGATAGCCATGCTAACTATGTAGGGGCAGTGATAGCCATGCTAACTATGTAGGGGCAGTGATAGCCATGCTAACCCTGTAGGGGCAGTGATAGCCATGCTAATTATGTAGGGGCAGTGATAGCCATGCTAACTATGTAGGGACAGTGATAGCCACGCTAACTATGTAGGGGCAGTGATAGCCACGCTAACTCTGTAGGGGCAGTGATAGCCATGCTAATTATGTAGGGGCAGTGATAGCCATGCTAACTCTGTAGGGGCAGTGATAGCCATGCTAACTATGTAGGGGCAGTGATAGCCATGCTAACTATGTAGCGGCAGTGATAGCCATGCTAACTATGTAGGGGCAGTGATAGCCGTGCTAACTCTGTAGGGGCAGTGATAGCCATGCTAACTCTGTAGGGGCAGTGATAGCCATGCTAACTATGTAGGGGCAGTGATAGCCAGGCTAACTCTGTAGGGGCAGCGATAGCCATGCTAACTATCTAGGGGCAGTGATAGCCATGCTAACTCTATAGGGGCAGTGATAGCCATGCTAACTCTGTAGGGGCAGTGCTAGCCATGCTAACTATCTAGGGGCAGTGATAGCCATGCTAACTCTGTAGAGGCAGTGATAGCCATGCTAACTATGTAGGGGCAGTGATAGCCATGCTAACTCTGTAGGGGCAGTGCTAGCCATGCTAACTATCTAGGGGCAGTGATAGCCATGCTAACTCTGTAGGGGCAGTGCTAGCCATGCTAACTATCTAGGGGCAGTGATAGCAATGCTAACTCTGTAGGGGCAGTGATAGCCATGCTAACTATGTAGGGGCAGTGCTAGCCATGCTAACTATCTAGGGGCAGTGATAGCCATGCTAACTCTGTAGGGGCAGTGATAGCCATGCTATCTATGTAGGGGCAGTGCTAGCCATGCTAACTATCTAGGGGCAGTGATAGCCATGCTAACTATGTAGGGTCAGTGATGGCCATGCCAACTATGTAGTGGCAGTGATAGCCATGCTAACTATGTATGATTGCCATGCTAGTCCAGAGAAGGACTGCAGTCACGGTCAATGACCGGCGTACCTGACATGTAACAATCATACCCTGAATAAGGATTTAGGTTAATAGAATATATTATGCTATGTATGCTTCCAAAAAATTCCCCTTCTTTTTATTTATTTTAGATTACTGGATGTCACCATATTTTTTTTCTATACTTAATGATAATTTTTCAAAACAGAGATGAAAGATTTCTGCACCTAAGTGGACAAATAACTCTTTCCTGAATCAATAAACAACTGAGGCTGAGGTAATCAGTCCAGTAATTCAGAGTTCTGCACAAACACAGTAACTGTATAACAAAGCATTAGATTAGGTCATTCTTGGGGAGGGCTGGCCTAGAGGTGGGTAATTGAAAAGTTATTTGGTTTAATTCCCTCAGACTGTCCCTTTGGGCCCCATAACCAAGACCTTTAGCCCCAGAATCCTCCCGTGGCATCATGGTCCACTACTTCATAAAGGGTTAAATGCAGAGGACTTATTTCCTAGGAATGTACAAAGTTGCCATAAAATCTAAAGATGATTTTTATATTGCTATTAAAAGGTCACTATTGTGATATTTAAAAGGCCCTTGGGTCAATTTCTGTAGCATAGATAAATATGTGCCATATATATGCATATATGCACTTCAGCAAAAAACCCTAAAAACCTGCGGCAGCCTGGCTTATCTGGTGATCGAGTTATGTATACTACAATTTAAAACGACTGGGATGACTTGATCATTATTTTAATAGGGTAAATATAACAGAAGGGAACCTATATTGTATTTTTTTTTTAGTATGAAATACTGTAAAATACCTGACAGTCTGAAAAACTTGCCCCTGATGCATTCGTTAATATATGAATCTTTTAGTGGTTAATTAATTACAAACTATTGCTTTAAGGCAACAGAACAGCTGATTAAATGCTGGCCCGGGACAGAGTGAGCAATAAGAGGCTTTATTCTAAATCTACAGGAGAGCAGCCGCACTGTGGCCTGGCTGCAGACTAATTTTTAACCCACGTTCCACTGTCGCACTTACCTCACAGAAATCTGTGAGAGAAATCTTCTACTTCCAAGTTTCTGTCCCGTATGCTTTGTTTTGTGTCGTCTGCCGGCAAATGCTCCAGCATATGAGGGATGGTTTAACAAAAAATAAAACACAACAACAAAAAAAGAAGTGAATTCTGTTGCTCCAATCTCTTGCTTTTCACTCCTCTTCTGTCATACTAATTTCCCTCACAGGCCTCTCCTCAGAAGGTTACTTTAGCTCCAAGCACCTGCAAGCGGTTTGGTATTTGTGCCCCGATTACAGCTTGATGTCTGGGTCAGTGACGGAGATCTCCGGAGCCTCTTGCTGGGGCTCCTTCATGGCCGCTGATCCTGATTAGCTGGGAGGTGGAGCCTGCTGGTGGTAGAAACAGAGACCAGTCGGGTGGAGTGGAGGTAGGTGAATGAGGTCAAGGTTTCTTCAGCAGTCCAAAGAAATGCTTAATTTATCAAACACCAATAGACCAGGATGATGAGGATGATGATGATAGGTTAATTCTGCAGAAGTTCATACGTTTAAGTATTAAGTATTAAATGCTCAGTGGTGCAGTGGGTAACACTGCTGCCTTGCAGCAAGAAGGTTCTGGGTCCGATTCCCGGTCTTTCTGCATGGAGCATGCATGGGTTCTCTCAGGGTACTCCGGCTTCCTCCCACAGTCCACAAACATGACTGTTAGGTTAATTGGCTTCTCTAAACTGGCGACCTGTCCAAGGTGTACCTATGCCTGTCGCGATATCAATAAATCAATTAATCGCACGATAAATAAAAACTATCCACGTCATTTCATTTATCGGGTATATCGTCCTGTGTTTTTCTCTTTCTATTGATGACGCTGGATGAAAAGGCTTAACTCCGGTGCTATCCACTGACTCCTCCCTTCTTCATTTTTGAGAAGGGAGGAAGAGTGGACTATCGCATCAGGTAGTCAGCGCGCATATGTTTTTATTTCCACTGTGGTTTTATCTTGTTTTTAGTTTTTATTCAAGTTTATTTTTAGTTAACAGAGACTGAGAGTCCATTTGATATTTATTTCTCGCTTTATTTTGTTAACCAGTTCCAGTGTTAAGTGTTCTGTTGAAAATAAAGTGTGTTTATCTTTCGCAGGAAAATGCATGCATTATGTAATTTCCATTAAATCAGTGTAAAAAGGTCTTAAAACAATATTATCGTTTATCGTAATAATTTTTGTGACAATTAATCTTTCAGCAAAATTTGTTATCGTTACAGGCCTAGGTGTACTCGCCTCTCGCCCATTGACAGCCTCCCTTGCGACCCCAATTGGGACAAGCGTGTCAGATAATGGATGGATGGATGTTTAAAGCATTTGAAAACATGTAAAACAGAGGAAGTTTCAACAGACTTTAAAGATATAATTGGTAGTTATATATGGTCACTAGATGACTATAAATTCTAGCCTGGGTGCCATTCCGAACTTAGTCCTGCCCACAACGTTTGAGGTCGTGAAGTTCGGTCTGGCATTGCTCCATAGTAGCGCAAGTATGATCGCCCACTCTCTGGCGATCCAATCAAATTGTCAGGGCGGGCTTTATACGATGATGGACAGATGATCAACAGTAACGTAATCAACCATGGTTCGTTCAAAACACGCCCCATAATCACAGCTCTATGGAGCAGTATCAGACTCATATTCTGACTAGAATTGAGTAGGACTACGTCAGGCTATATAAATTCATCCAAGTACTGAATAAATGAAGAGAACAAATCAAGGTATCATCATGATCTTGGTGCTGATGACTGGCTGGATTAGTAATTTCATTCACCTGCCTAACTCTGCCCAGTTTCTCGTTTCCATTCATCTGATCCAACTTCTGCTGCTTCTATTTTACCTGCCTGATTCCAGTCATCAGTGCCAGATTCTTCTATAGCCAGTGGTGTTTCACCTACCTCCACTACACCCAACTGTTCTCTATCTGTTGAGAGGCTTGAGCCTCTCTCAATAATTGTTTCCAAGCACTTTTCATTACCTTCCCCTGCAACATCAAATCTTTTATTTAGGGAAACCTATTGAACAACCAGATATCGTACGGGTCCTAGTTTCTGAGCTAAGAACAGGTCATATCCATGCTTTTCCAACAAGGCAAGGCAGAGCCTTTTTAAGGGTCATTCCATGGAAAGTGTAAAGATTGGACCTCTGAATTTAGAGGTTTTTGATCATAACCTTTTTTTTTTTTTTTTTAGTTTCATAGCCTATAGAACACGTAACATTTGCAATAAAACATATTTTTCAAGCTCAGACACCATTTTCTGCGAGTACTTTAACACATTATATCCAGGGAACAGAGTTTCCTTTTACACCCTGTCACAGGACAAAGGTTAACAAATTAGAGGGTAATTTTAGATAAAAGTAAGACAAACAAAATGTTATTCACTTCAGAGAATGTCTTTTTTTTTTTTTTATACCAATAGTGTGTTCAAAGTGTTTTTTTAATGTTTTTATGTGATGTACAGCATTAATTCAATATGAAGAACGTTGCCACCTATCACAATAATTGATGTGACGGGGTGGAAAATCTAAAACAATATGGCTCAATTTCTGGATATGTTAAAACCTGATGGTGCCGTTAGCATTGAAGTACAATGAAAAATGAATGATTAATACAAATATAATTAAAAAATTTGATTAACAAATTGTTTTCCCCACTTTTTGTGTGTGATGGGGTGGATATGCTATGGTTAACAGAAAGGATTTTGAAGGAAAAATGTACCAAAAATGTTCTTAAAGAAAAACCAGAACTCACCATTGTTTGGATTTCTCTTCTTCAAACTCTTGAATGATGTCACTTCATGTTAGTGATGTCACTACTAGGAAGTGATGTCACTTCTAGGAAGTGTATAGCATTTTGGCGCAAAATAACATTGGTGTGTTGGGCTGGAATATTAAATTGATGGACATAGAAAAATCATGCTATTTCAATAAAAAAAAATGACATTTTAATACAATTAACACATTTCCTATTAAGAGGATTTCTAACCATAACAACAAAAATTTTTGAGATTTATTTCATTTTTTCTTAAATTTTACATTACATGAATGAGAAAAATGGTCAGAGCGGACATGAGAAAATGATTGCAGTTTAACATAAAAAGTTATAAATATGCAAAATATATATTTATCATTCAATTTTATTTGACCTCATGCTACCAACCAAACTTGAATCAAGGGCTTTAGATACTTAAAGTATTGCTGACAGTTTTATTATGCTTCCTATTCCTCTTTGAATGTTATGGACCCAAACTTAACAGTTTTCATGGAATGACCCTTATATTGTCTAATAAGTGGGAATGATTATGCATTCCCACTTATTGTTTTACTGTTTTTATTTTTCTGACTTTAACTAGTTTTCAACCAATTTCAACAATTTTGGTAGCAAAACGTTCAGCTTGTTCAGGAGAATTCTGCTATGTCTTTTAGTATAGATATTTTTTGTAGTTTTTGCGACATTCAGCTTTTTTCTGCATTTTTGTATCCCATTGCAATGAATGTAGAATTCTCAGATTTCAGCAAAAAATTAAGCTAATCTTCACCATCTTTGACCTTTAACTTCAGCATACTTTCAGATAGAAACACCATTCAACTTTTAAAATGTTTATCAAAGATTCAGCTATTCTGATTTAACTCAGCTTTTTGATGTCTTTTACGGTTTTTATTAAAATTGGATTCAAACTTTACACAAAGTTTTTCAGGTTTTCAATTTTACAATGGAAGTCTATGGGCGGAATTCTTCAACCATCAGAGTGCGTGCGTGCTCTAGCTTTTGAGCTGTTCTGGTTTTTCCGAACAAATTCTTCTCACTCCCTCATTTTTCACTCAATTTAAATAAATTATACATCAAAACGTAGGAATTTTTGTCAGCATTCAGGAAATATAACCCTCATTCATGGGGGATTTACAGTTTTCCTACAGTTTGGCCAAGACCAGGAAGAAGTCAACACTGACCCAAATAGACTTCCAATGAGACTTTCCAAAAATTACAGACGAAAATCCAAAAAACAAATGTTTCCGTATCGCTGCCACATGTTAACCATTTCATGTACAAACATGAAACCTGGTATACAACATCTCCAGGCCCTTCTAGCATTCACATTGAAGGATTTTGTTTTGTATTACTCATGGTTTAGCTTTTTAGATGAGCTGTTCGGGGAAAGGAAAAAGTTGATTTTGGGAAAAAGTCTCAGACTGAAATCTTTCAAAACCAACCATGTTTTTACATAGTCACCGTGGCCAAATGCTTTTTTGTAGAAACATTAAAGTTAGCATTAGAGATGTCCCGATCTAGGTTTTTGCACTTCCGATCCGATACCGATATTGTTTTTGGACTTCCGATCAGATACCGATACTGGCCGATACCAGCCTATCCGAGCATGTATTTAAGTTTAAGTTAAAGTATTTAGCCTTAGTTGTAAGACTCATGTTGAAAAGGGTTTTAGTACTCTTGATAACATCTAGCCAGCTAAATTAGGTGAGATTGAATAAAACACAATGATTGGTAACAACAAACTTACCTGTTTATTAAGAGATAAACACAAACTGGACAAAATTATGAATAGCAATCTGAAATTGCACAGTGAACAATAAAACCGTAAACAGTTAAAGGTGCAAGTATTACTGTCAGTTTTAATAAAAATGCAAAACAGACAAGAGTGGAAAATAGTCTATTAACCTCGAATCAGGACTCTACTCTTGAAAAAAGACACTGCTTAAAAAAAATCAGTGCAAATAATAGTGAACTATTACACAAAAATGCCTTATACTCCCCAATCTCCTCCACACCTAGTCTCCATCTACACATCCTGCAGGATAAAATAATCCCACACGGCTGACATTTTCCCCGCTATCTTCCAATTCACCTGTTTTAATGGTTAGGCCAGGAGACAGACCCAAAAAGACCTGTGGGTGTGTTTAATGTGTTCTGGAAAATGCGGACCGGATTCGGGGAACACTGGTGCAAAATAGTGGAATGGATCGTTTCAATCGGCGAAACTGTAAAATACGGACCGGTTTTAAAAAAAAAACTGGATCGGCAGTCTGGATCTGCATTTTTACATGCTTTGCCGATACGCATTTTTTTGCCAATATCGGCGTCCGATCCGATACGTGGATCGGATCGGGACAAGCCTAGTTAGCATATTTATTTATCAAAGCCTGCTGATTCCTATGGTCTAACATTATTCCTGTATCTTTTATGGTTTTTGATTTATTAAACATAGTTCAACAAAAACATTTTTCAAATTTTGTCAATATTCCTCTTTATTTACAGAGTGCTGTGTCTTTACAAAAACAATTTTGAACAAAAACATTCCTAAAGCTTTATTCCCCTCT